AGCCCAGATACAGGATAATTGTCTTATGTAGAAGACAGCCACAATAAACATGTTGAATCTTCTTGAACAAGGATCAAATTTTCCTTTTCTGGAATTCTCAATGTAACTAAATGCGAGATACAGTGGATCTAATTTCTTTATGTTGTTGCAATATTTGCAAAAAAGGAAGGTAGGTCCAATCTCTTCCTAATTTTACTTGCTTTTATACTGTTTGAATTTTTCAACAAGGTCATTGCGGAGGATCTCATACTAGGGAAAAAGATCTTTTAAATGAATCTTTGATTGGACATCACCTTTTTTGTTTCTCCCAAACTCTCCTATTTAGAAGGTTCCAACCAGGTCTTTGCAACTTCATTCAAACAGCCAAGAAACCAAACCTTTAGCATAGACATCAAGGTTTAAGATTTACTAGGCTAGACTCATAGATCACTCTATCACCCACATAGTCCCCCCTTTACCCAAACAAGCATACCCAAAATGTCTTGGCAGTTTATGAAGTTATTACAAGTCCATCAAAGCCATTAATTCCACTCTTACACAGATACACTATGACCTATTATGCACACAAAGTTCCCTTTGCTAAAACAGAAAGTTTAAGTTTAAGCCTCGTCCTTCTAAAGGGAAATCATAGATTAGTAACATAATAGGAGTCCAAGTATATTCCAAGCCCTGTTCTAAATCTCATATGGCTATAAAAACTTGCATATTATTCATTGAAGCAGCAAGAAATTTCATTAATCAAACAAATAAATCTATTGATATATGGAACAATAGTGACAGTCTGAAATAATCAAATTAAAAGAAGAAACTGGTTTTTCTTGACATGGATGAAGCCAGCAACTCTATAAATGTATTTATTAAGAACTTTTTGTCAAATCACATTAAGCACTAGATAAGAACTCCAACGACAAAATCATAGCAATAAATGAAAACCATGAGCAGAAAATTACCAATCTACCTTTTTGCACTCTAGAAACATTGCAAGAGCTGATATGCCCTGCTCATCTAATGATTCTCTGATTGACTCAAGTTGTTCAGTGAGACTGCAATAACATAAAATCTTGGATAGATGCATAAATGTCCAACAAGGAGTCTCAAGAATCAGGACACAGCATTAAAAAAAAAAAAAAAAAACTGGATTGCTCCATGAGGTGGAAAAGTCAGGAAAAATCAAAGTACTTATTCATAGATAATACAAAAAGTTTAAAGGGTCAGCAGCATTTATGCCTCAATTTAGTGATTGAATAAAGCAGGTAGGAAATCCACTCTCCTTGGTGAAGGCAGCTTTACATAGTAAAATACAGAGAAGGGTTAAAAATAGATAGGATGAGAAACAAATATAGAACTTATAAAACTAGTTCATGTCTTCACTAGAAGTTTCAACAAAGATCATTTGAACTCCTAAAACCTAAATTACTTAAAAAGTAAAAAGCCAATTTATTATATTAGTGTCGCAGAGAACTCTATGCTACCATAATGTTGCTTAATACCATCTTCAACAGATTAACATCAAAAGTATAAACCATGGAGACAAGGAAAAGTAAAAGTGAGAAATACAAATTGTATGAATTCAACCTTCCAGCATTGAAGAAATCTTTGAGTTCCTGATGGAAAATCTTGAATTGTTCCACAAATGCTTCACTATATTCTCCAGGATTCCTGGTGACTCTTGCAAGCATTGCTTCTGTCGAAACTAAGTCTTCAGGGCCAGCATTTCGATGAAGCTTGTTCTGTATTGTATGCTTAATTTCTTGCTGGAATAAGTAAATTGAAAATTAATTAGTAATTTGAATTGCATAAAAAAACTCCAGATGCTTCTGAAATCTAACCTTGAGATCATGAGGGATATCATTCCGATGAGCAATGTCTCTAATCCGAGTAAGTGGAACAGATGCAGTAAACTCTGCTTTAAAAGATGGCAAACAAGGATGGATCTTGCGAATAACAAGCACTGCCTAGAATTAGGGAAGAAAAAGGTAACTGAGAAAATAAAAGACATCACGACCGGTGTGCTACACATAACTCAAAACATAAACAAAATGTTGGTAGTTGAAAGTGCATGAGATTTGTCATATTTATCCATTTCTTCAACATTTGGTGCTTGCTCCATGTAAAATACTATTATAATCTAATTTCCTAATATAAAAGCTTTAACAAAGGAAACATGCAAAAATCAAGAGGGGACTAATATTATCTAATGATATCAACCCTAAGATATGAAAAGAAACACAAAAAAAAAAAAAAAAAGATGCCAGACTGTGCTTTTACTGATCTTCTTCAGGATTTAGTTTAAATTGAACAAAATGGAAAAATATAGCCAATGTAACTGAACCTAAGTAATGGAAAAGCTATGTCTTTTGTTTACCATTCTCTACATAAGCCATTGGCTACAAATATATATTTTAATAACTACGAAAAGTATCAATACAGCAAACTGCAGTGATAGAGCACCTGAGGAGAAGTGTCTTTCCAACTAGAAATTCGTTCTAATTCACGAAATATATGCCTGGATATCTCAGCATGTCTGTTTGGCCGGTGATGACCCCCATCTTCAAAACAAGGAATTTGCCCTGTATTTATCCACTGCATAAGAAGAAGATTTAAGACAAGCATGGAAGAATAAACGCCAAAACAAACTGTAACAAAAGAAATAGAAAAAACCTTCAGATAGATAGCAGAGCATATTAAAGCCTCCAACCGTTCCCCACTTTGCAAACTTCCAACTAATAGCTCACGAACCACTTCAAGCTTTCATAAGCAATAGGAAAACAAAGATGAAGAAATGTCAATGGTCAAAGAAATATAAATCAATCATGAAAATTACCCACAAGGATAGAAGTTTACAACCTTCAGACACATATTACACTATCAACCATCCAACCGCCAAATGTGCAAAACTCCCATGCATCAAAACCACCCCCCCCCCCCAACACACACATAATGCCAAAAGTAGGCCACACCTTAACAACTTCCACTGGCCTGGCTTGTGTCAACCAGATATGTTTTTAGTGTAAGTGCAAGCATGCGAACATAGATTGCATGGATTTTCATACTCAGAGCTTATGAAAAAGGATTTCAGAAATATAAGGCTAAATGCCATCGGTTATCAATTGAATGCATTAATATATTGTGCTACACAGAGATCCATAATGCTAAAAGTCATAAAATTATATATAAGAATATGAGAAGTAAATTGCAATTCAATTACTAGTATCAAAGGTGGGATGAAAAATATATTGATTATGACATCTCTAGAAAAATATATTGATTATGACATCTCTAGAAAAATGTCCATAACTATGAATAATGCAATCAACATAATAACTATCTGTACCTTTCTCCACCAATTCCTCGCACTTTTATCGCCTTCAACTAATTTCAAAGCCAACCCTTCGAGACCAGTTGTATCCCATTTCCTTTCCACTTCTTTGTTGTGATGCTCACTCGACCGCATGAAAGAGGCAGGCCTCCCCTGCCATTGTCCAACAAAAGGACTTGTCTCCACCTCCAAGGCATCAGCAGTAGATTCATTATGACCATCATCCTCCACACTGTCTCCATATTCTTCCAGACTTAAAGGCAATAGTTCCACTGTTTCCCCTGTTGAATTCCAGTGACAAATCATACCAAAACTCCCTCCTTGAGGCAGTTTCAGGACACGGTTATCCCCACCTTCCCAAACTACACTCTTGTCCTTCCTAACAATCACAAATTTAAACTCAACACACTCACCCCCTTTCAACTCCAAGTCACATACCCATCCACCCTCAGTCCAGTTCATAGGCACTTGCTTCTTCCAGGATCCCAATTCTTTGGTGGACCCCAAAATCACTACATGCTCACCAAATTCAACTTGGTGATCTAAACAAACATTAAGTCCCACTTTGCCACGTCCAGACTTTTGTTTCATTTTCATCTTCTTTTCTTCTTCTCTGCTCCCAAAATCAAAAACCCATTTTAGTCATCACCGTTGCATAGCATTTCATACAATCAGTTAGAAAAAAACTATGCCATTTGCTTATTAATCATGATAACAAATACTAAAACTCAAATAACCACCATTTCCAGATATTTCTCATTAGCAAAAGTTACTTATGGTTAAGTGGAACACCTAGCAAGTTTATAAACCCGCTTATGCAGATTTTAAACTCAACCACCAATAATTCATCATAAATTCATCATAGTAATTACTAAAAACAGAAATGGCCGTTCTGTTTCATTCATTTTCACACATTCTCACAACAAGAGCAGTTGAAAATGTTGAATGAACACTTTATATAACTATTTTACATTCATTTTCAGACAGATCTTCAGCAGCTGAAAAAAAAAAGGAACCCACAACAATGAAAGTTCAAAAGACAGGCAAAACGTAAAAGGGTACCTAGTGGGAGTAGAGGAAACTGCAAAAAAGAGAGGATGAGAGTGTTTATGTTGGCGGTTGATTCCTGGCGGAAAAGTAAAAGGAAAAGAAATCCTGGGATTGAAAATAGCGGTGTTTGGGAGGAATCCGAGTTGCTTCCTAACCATGATTTGGAATTGGAGTGAGCCTAGAGAAATAGAATCCATTTTCTTCCTTTTTCCTGAGAAAATAAGAGAGTCACAGTTCACTGAATCATGATTGGGATTTTGGGAGGAGAAAGGGTGTTTAAAGTGCTGGGTTTGCGCCACGTGGAGTGCTTAACACATCCAATGACTCATCTAGAACGCTTTTTCTTACATTTGCATTTATTACGATCACTTTGAGAATTGAGATCCGAAAAATATCTGATCTAATTTTTTTAATTTTATTATAAAATTTTATAAATATAATTAGAACTTTTTTTTTTTTATAATTCAAGGGGCAGAGCGTAGGGGAGCGAAAACTGAGGTCGAACCTTAATTTTATGTTTTTTTAAGTTTTTTTTTATCATTAAATCAAGAAATTGAAGAAAATATAATTAAAACTATATAAAATAGCAAGGAACATGTGACAAAAATAAAATAATAAATAATAAAAGGAGGGACAACACGATAGCTCAACCCGCCGTTGCAAGGGTTGAGTTGTCAAATATCTATCGGCTGCAAAAAAAAACCTCTAATCCTCCTAATTTCCCACATTTTAATCTCCATTCTCTTGAAGGAAGAATTCTATATACCGTACACCGAAAGCCTGCTCACTATAACAGTCACCACTCCACAGCCATCGTTACCTTCTATCTTCAATCGGAGGTATTATATATTTATTATTTCCTGCAAGTCTTCTCTTTTCTTGATTTTTATGGCGTCTATCTGCCACTGTCTTTAGGAACTTGTCACTTTAAGATTGTTATTTGGGAAAATGAATTTTGGGTTTTTGTTGCTGAGGTTTAGAGATATTCGGGTCACTGGGTAGTGGAATTTTGAACTGTTCAAGACATTAATCTTGATATTTTGCTTCTGGGTATTCCATTAACTAGCTTATTTATGCAATTATGCTAAATTCGAAGACTTTGTTTGATCCGGTGACTTGGGTCTTTTTGGTTTTTTTTATTAATCCAATCTCAGACTTGTGTTTTTCCTTAATTCAGATTTTGAAAATAGCCCTCATAGCACGTAACTTTATCTCGTTTTTTTTTTTTTTGAATTCAATAACAGAAATGAAATTGTAACCAAAGATTAGTACTTTTAACTTAGATGTGAGCAATGCCGAAATTGACTTTTAATTGGTTCTCTCTGGACTCGTTGTTATCATGCTATAGCTTATGGGAAAAAAAAAAGTTTCAGCATCATGTAAGTTTTATTGTGTATCTTGAATCTTTTTTTTCTTTTTCTTTTTTTTGTTTATAATGCTGATTTTCATCATTTTTATTTTTGCTAAATTTTGGGTGAAAAGGCTTTTTCATGATACATTTTTGTGTAATTTTTAGTCTGATTGGAATTTGATTGGTGTAATATTTGGACTTTAAGGTCTTACATGAGTTTTCTTACTGTAGAAGTTAAAAGGAGGAGGAGCCAAAGATGCAAACAGCTTCTCAACTTCGTCCTATATTTTACTTTTCTAGCAGGTCACTCTCTTTCTCTCTTCTAATTTCACTGAGAATCTACTATCCTTTCAAAATAAAATTACTGCTGATGCTTTATCTGTGAGATTTAAAATCTTTAATCATGTTGTAGAAGGAGCTCTATCAAATCTGATGGATGGATAAAACTAGGAGGTTGGAATTCAAGTACACTTTCCAGCACTGGAAGAGGTCAGAGTCTTAGATTTCTAACACCAACCCGCAAAACTAGGTTGTTTGTTCTTTCCAACACAGATGATGGCTGCCCATATGCCCCTGTGCTAGAAGAAGAAAGCAGTGCAAACCATGCACCCTGTTCAGAGCCAGAGACATTCTTTAGCAAATGGTCTCCTCCAAGGTACTTATGGAGAGGATTATCTGTTCTTGTCCTTGCAGGGCAAGTTATTATTAGGACTCTAAAGGGTAAAGTCCACTGGAGAAATACCCTCCAACAACTGGAGAGAGTTGGACCTAAATCAGTTGGGGTTTGTCTTCTAACCTCAGCATTTGTTGGCATGGCCTTCACTATTCAGTTTGTGAGAGAATTTACCCGTTTGGGGTTGAACCGATCGGTTGGTGGGGTATTGGCCTTAGCATTCTCAAGGGAGCTAAGTCCTGTGGTTACATCAATTGTGGTTGCAGGGCGAATTGGAAGTGCATTCGCTGCAGAATTAGGAACAATGCAGGTTTCTGAGCAGACTGACACATTGAGAGTTCTTGGATCGAACCCTGTTGACTATTTGGTCACACCCAGAGTGATCGCTTCCTCTTTAGCTTTACCATTTTTGACTCTGATGTGTTTCACAGTAGGGATGGCATCAAGTGCCCTTTTGGCTGATGGTGTTTATGGGATTAGCATTAACATCATCTTGGATTCAGCTCAAAGGGCTCTACGATCATGGGATATAATCAGTGCAATGATTAAGTCTCAGGTTTTTGGTATGATCATCTCTATTGTGAGCTGTGCTTGGGGAGTTACCACCATGGGAGGAGCCAAAGGTGTCGGAGAGTCAACAACTTCAGCTGTGGTTATTTCTCTCGTTGGTATTTTTATGGCTGATTTTGCACTCTCATATTGCTTCTTCCAAGGAGCTGGAGATTCTTTGAAGAATTGTGTATGATGAGGCTGGCCTCTTTGGCATCTTTACAGTTTTCTTGGTTAAACCCATTGTCTATGCATTTATAAAAAAGTAGCTAGTTTTTCTGTTTGATAGGAGAGAATGATTTGTAAAATTTATGATTGGTGTGATAAAAAAGATTTATGTAATAATTTCAGGATCAAGTTATGGAAAAATTATTTAGATATATATTTTTTAAATATAAATCTGAATGCTTTGATAATGCATGATGTGATAATTAAAAATTTTCACATAAATATATATAAATTTATATTTTATAGTGCTTATTATTTATTTGATGGGAGAATGATTATTAGGAACAGCTTTGGTGCTCTAAATTTATGGTTGTTTCACTCTCTCTTATTGATCAAAATTCCTTCACTAATTTAACCTCAAATAACATAGAGATTTCGTGCAATGATCCTGAATTTCTAAACCTGTCACCAATACGTTAGAAGAAAAAAAATTTATATGAAACGGTTATTTAATAATCCTGTCACCAATATTAATTTGAATAAAATAATTGATTATTTAATAATATATGATTTTTATAATTTGAATGAAAATGATATATATTGACATGATGTAACTGTTTCATATAATTTTTTTATGAATGCTGATAGATGTTGTATGTCTAATAGACTAATGCAATTAATGAAGAAGAAATTTAAACAAGATAATTTGGAAAGCTATGCTAAAAGTAATAGCTTCTCTGATTAAATGCAAATGCACTTTGATTGATTGTACTTTAAGGGATTTTTAAATACACGTGAACCCTAAATCAAAAATTGAAAGTGAGACCAATGGATTTGATTCTTGAGACGATTGTATGTAAAGATGTGTTGAAAATCACTGTTTGAAACACATTTTTTTACATAAATGAAGTCAAAGTGAAACCGAGAAAACATTCATTCAACAATAAATGATTAAATTCATGCATCAATTGAGGATCAAACCCTTATTATTTTATAAAAAACATTTAAAAACATTTTAGAAAACATTCATTCAACAATAAATTCATGCATCTTTTTTAAATCAACTGCCATCAATTCTTTATGGCATTTGTTTATTTAAAAAAAAAAAAGTTTCACAATGGAGAAGTTAACATAAAGCTATAATGTGAACAAAATTGTAAAAAACTCCTAATTCCTAAGTGATAATAGATCCATAAAATGTGGCGGCCAGCCATGTAACTTGAAAGAAGAGTTTTAATGAAAATATTTTATTAGTTCTGATAATACTATCAATAAACAAAGTAAACGAAGCATAAATGGAAAGTTGGAAAATTAATTTTTATTACTTTGATATACTAATCAAAAGGAAACGTGGGTTTGCATGTTTGGATGCTTCCATAAATGGACACTGCCTTGCCTTAAATATTCTGTTGCTTTGAATGACTTCCCTTAGTACCTTTTTTTTTTTTTTTTTCAGTTTTTTCTTTCTTGCTTCAAAAACAAATTTTAGTCGTTTGTTGTCTTCTTTTCTTTGTTCCAAGTCATTCCCTCGGTGGCTTGTGATTTTTTTTCAGAATTGGACAAAAATGGAGAAGATGATGATTTGGAAGCAGAGACATAATCAACTCTGGTTTGTTGTTCTTGTCTCCTTTGTTTTTTGCTTGGTTTTGCTTTGCTTGGATTATTCAGTTTTATCTGGTGCCAAGAATGGAGTCTCCTTCATAGTCCACAGTTTTGACTATGCTCTCAACACCCAGAGAACTGGCCAATTTGTTGCCATTGACAAACATGGTGAAACTTCTGCCCCACCTTCCATTGTCACCAGCAATCAAGCTTATAAAGATGCACAGGATTTTCCTGTCCTGGAAAATAATGTTACATTGGATAATAATGTGAAGGAAGAAAACAAGGTTCAGGTTCAGGTTCAGGATGTTGCTGATCAACAACCTGGTAGTGATTGGAAAAGAGAGGATCCATGTTCAGGTAAATACATATATGTTCACCATCTTCCAAGTAGATTCAATTATAATGTGCTCAAGGATTGTCGAATGCTTAACAAATGGTTTGATATGTGTCCATCCCTGATGAATTCAGGGTTCGGTCCAAAGGTTGAAAGCCCACGAGGGGTTTTATCTGACAGGAATTGGTTTGAAACAAACCAGTTCCTTCTAGAAGTCATTTTCCATCATAGGATGAAGCAATACAAATGTTTAACCAATAATTCATCATTGGCTTCAGCTATTTTTGTACCCTTTTATGCTGGCCTAGATATTGGTCGTTTTCTTTGGGGTTATAACACATCCATAAGAGATTCTTCTGCTTATGATTTGGTCAATTGGCTTGGAAAAGAAGCTGAATGGAAACGGATGTGGGGTAGAGATCATTTCTTTGTTGCAGGGAGGATTGCTTGGGATTTTCGGAGACAAACAGGAAAAGAATCCGATTGGGGCAGCAGGCTTATGTCTTTGCCTGAATCCATGAATATGACAATGTTAACTATAGAAACAAGCTCGTGGAGCAATGAATTTGCCATACCATACCCAACTTACTTTCATCCATCAAGCCACAGAGAGGTAATCCGTTGGCAGAAAAGAATGAGAAGTCGAAAAAGGCGACACCTATTCTCATTTGCTGGTGCTCCACGTCCAAGTATGAATGACTCAATCCGGGGCAAGATTATCAACCAATGTTTAGCCTCAAAAAACACATGCAAGTTTCTTGATTGTCAGTCTAGTGGAAACAGGTGTGATACTCCAGTTGAAGTAATTAAGGTGTTTCGAGACTCCATTTTTTGCTTACAGCCTCCAGGGGATTCATACACTCGGCGCTCAACATTTGATTCGATCCTGGCAGGGTGCATTCCTGTTTTCTTCCATCCTTATTCTGCATATGCACAATATACATGGTACTTTCCAAAGAACTATACCAAATATTCTGTGTACATTCCTGCCAATGACATAAATGATGGCAGGGTGAGCATCAATAAAGCACTTTCTCAGTTTCCGAAAGGCCAAGTATTAGCTATGAGAAAACAGGTGCTAAAGCTAATACCAAAGGTGATATATGCAGATCCCATGTCCAGATTGGAGCTTTTTGAGGATGCATTTGACGTTGCGGTTAAAAAAGTTCTTGAGAGAGTGGAGAAAGTTAGGAAAGATATTAAGAAAGGAAAGGATCCCAGTGTTGATTTTGCTGTAGAGAACCGCTGGAAGTTGAAATTATCTGGAATAGTGGGAGACCATTCATTGGAGCAACTAATTTAGACAATGAAGAAGAGCATAGAAATGCAAGATTAGACAAAAATTAGTGCATTACTTATGTGACTGGGATTAATGAGGAGTAAAGAAAACAAACTCCTGCTTTGATCTCGATTGTTTATTTCTTTTCCTTGATTGAATTTTTGCATTGGGTAACTGGATGGTTGATCATCTGTTTGTCCTCTTCGTATTCCTGAGCTGTAAGTGAAAATAGGTATAGCCAATGTTACAGCTCTTTGATTTAATATGTTGCAATGTTTCATCGATGTTGAAATCTCATTAAAATTGAGTTTCTTTTGGCTTTCTAATATACCATTTGCCAGTGCTGCATGGCCACTTATACGCAAAGAGGCATATCTTCTGCCAATTATTTTCAGATCTTAATTTCAGGATTCCTTAGGCAGTTCTGAATTGTGATAAAAGAACAAAACCATTCAAAGCTAACAGTAAATTTTGATGGGATAGATAATGCTAAGCAATTTACCTAGGTAACTAAACATGGGAAGTATTAAGCACAAAATTTTCAATTCCATTCTTTTTTTTTTTAAACAAAAGAGATTGTAATAGGTTGCAGGTTCTGAAATCTAAATCCCAGACCAGCTAGATGCTACATCTTAAGGGTTGCTATATGAACCAACTGAGCTAAACTCCGGGTTCATTTTCAACTCCATTCTGCAATAAATAAAAGCTTAACTAGGAAGAACTAAAAATTGGTAAGGTGAACATAAACATATATTACAATGATATTTCTAGACAGAGAACTTATTCTCAGAACACAAGCATATAAACTTCACATACAAACTTCTCTGTTTGTAGACTCACAAGTCACACCAACATTTGATAATCTGGACAGAGAACTTATTCTCAGAACATAGGAGGAACTCAACATGGTTCCAAACATCTAAAGGTAGTATTGTAGCTCATTTATTAGATTGTATAGATGCAACAAAAATGCATCTTCTCAAACGGGTGGTTTCCATGAAGATAAAGGTGGGGTATCAGAGTTCTTATAGGTTGTGACAGTGCCCCCATATCTGTCTCCTTTTACAGCATCTGCTGAAGCAATGGATTCTAGTTCAGCCATCTCTTCAGGTGTTAGTTTCACAGACAAAGCCCTGATATTCTCATTTAGGTTTTCAACTTTTGTGGTTCCAGGTATTGGACAGACATCATCCCCTCGGTGATGGACCCAGGCTAATGCAAGCTTTGATGGACTCCACCCTTTTCTCCTTGCTATCTCATTAACCCGCTCAAAGATGTGTTTGTTATGCTCAAGATTTTCAGGTTGGAACCTTGGAACAAACTGTGGCAATTAAAGAGCTAAGACAACATGAAAATTATACAGAAGCAAATGAAAATTAACTTTTAGCAGGAAAGTCAGTAATAGAAAGAGCAGCTAGATAAATCTGAAACTCGAAGGCCCCTTCAATTGATACTGAGTGAATCCAGATGTAGTCAAAAACTCCAAGAATAAACTTTTCATTACTAAAGAAACTAAGATATAGAAGTTTTGGTTATTCATACCCTGACATATCATGAGTCTACTAGAACTAAGATTGTTATATTGTATGGACATTCATCAAATATGTTAGGGGAACGAACCTTCCTGGCGTCCCCATCAGAAAAAGTTTCCACCAGTTTTGGCCCTGTGGAAAAGAATCCTTTCCCCAGAGGGCTATAGGCAACAATACCAATACCAAGTTCCCTGAGAAATGAAAAGGAATGAGACACTAGAATTTGGAATTGTTAATGATCCAACAATATTGTTGGTACTCTTATCCATGACTAACCTGCAAGTAGGAATTATTTCTTCCTCAACATCTCTAGCCCACAAGGACCATTCCAACTGCACAGCAGTTATTGGATGAACAACCATGTGCCCTTCTGATAGTTGATGCGGAGGCCTCGGAGAGACCTATATACATTATTTTACCCTCCTCAACTAATTTCTTCAGCTCTCCCACCTGTAAAAACACCCACTTTGAAAAGCAAAAGAAAAACAAGTACCAAATAAAAGAGCGGATTGAACCCAAGGTTAGCTAAATTGGTTTATGCAATCACTGATGATATTCAACGGGTCCGGAGTCTGAATCTTGACACTTACAATCCAGACTGCGGGTGTCACGGGTTGAGACTTAAGCTTCGAACCCGCACGACTTCGGAACTTGGACATCCACTCATCCGACGTCCCAGATCAGCCTACTTGACACGGTTCGCATCGAACATAATAGGAGGGTCACTGGGGTATAAAAAAGTTCACACCACCTCAACCTTGTGAGGCTATACTTACTGAGTTGTGGTTTGCTCATTTCCTTTTACTTTTCTTTACAGATGATTAAGTGATAAGTTTGGTTAGTCTTGTGTGAAGCTAAAAGATAAAATGGATAAGATTACTTAATCGTCAGAGAATATATTGGTCAATGAGATTTTAAGAGACAGTTTTGTATTTTATATGATTTGTATTTGGATATATAAAGATGTAACATCAGTTAAATTAAAAATATGAATTTTATTTGGTATATTGTTTTATTGAAGAAGTTTAAAATGTTTAAGAAAGAAGTTTTCGTATTATTTGAGATTTTCTTTAAGATAATATGATCGTATTACATCTTGATCTCGAGACGTGACAAACGGATACCAAAAAAAATAAATAAATAAATAAAAGAGAAGATCAGAAACAACAGACCGTGACTTCAATAGGAACCCTGGTGTCAATCCGATGCTGATAATAAAGATCGATACACTCCACACCAAGGCGTTTCAAGCTACCTTCACAAGCCTCCCTTACATAAGCAGGGTCACCCCGGACTTCCACTTTACCATCCACAAAACGAGCACCAAATTTAGTAGCCAATTCAACTCTGTCTCTGACATCTTTCAAGGCCTTTCCCAGAAGGATTTCATTAGTATGGGGACCATAAACATCGGAAGTGTCGAGGAAAGTGATTCCACAGTTGATGGCGTGGTGGATGAGGTTGATCATGTCAGGTTCAGGCTTGGGTGGACCGTAGAAGGCTGACATGCCCATGCAGCCTAAGCCTTGAGCTGATACTTCCAGGCCTTGGGTGCCTAGCTTTATTCTCCCCACTCTAGTTTCCATTTCTTCTTTCTTTATTTCAACACTAACAGGTTAAGCAATGGAGTTTTTGCTGCCACCTTTTTCTGGCTTTATACAGCAGCACTGCAAGCATAGTGTTGAATTGACCCAGTCAACTTTTTCAATTAAATTGCGGGAATCAGAGAAAATTTACTTTAAATTTATATATTGTTAATTGAAAGCAAAAATTGAACGTTAAGTTTACAAGAACAACGCATCTTTATTTTTTGCTTTTCAAATTCCGGGTTCATTTTTCCATATCAAGACAAAATGTGTACATCAATACATAAAATAATTTCTATCCCTTTCGATGACTTGAATCAAGTTACTGACAAATATCTAACTTGATTACTCTTTTTTTGGAAAAAGTAAAACAAAAAAGAAGAAGATAATTTGGATTTTTTCTATCTTTGGGGGGCTGAGAGCTCAACGCCAATATTTATATTTTACGAGCATTTAAAATAATACAAATACACAAGTTTTCAACTCTATTGTCTTTCTCAGCATCTCATAACCACAACGATCATTCCAACAGCTGTTACTGACTGTGTTAGAAGATGTGTTTAGGACTGTTAATGTAGATTCATTGAATATTTCATGTTGTTCTTGTTTTTCTGATGTTAGTTATTTTTTGTTATTCTTGCTGGTGGTCATGGCTTAATCTTAGGATTATGATTTTAGTGGGTAGTTATTAATTAGGCTTATAAATTGTATGTTTCTGCATGTTAAGATATGCAGTAGTGAGTAAAGTTTTTTTTTGCTTCAAAAATACAACATTTGGTATCAGAGCCTTCTTCTTAAGGGATCTGTGTGTGAAATTGACGCGTCATGGAAGCTGAAGCCAGTTTCTCCACAATTGCTCCGGCGGTGTTCGACGGAAACAACTACCAGATTTGAGCAGTACGTATGAAGACATACTTGGAAGCTTTAGATCTTTGGGAAGCAGTGGAAGAAGACTATGAAATTCCTGCACTTCCAAACAATCCCACCATGGCACAAATTAAAGCACAGAAAGAAAAGAAGACAAAGAAATCAAAGGCAAAGGCCTGCTTGTTTGCTGCAGTCTCATCCATCATCTTCACTCGTATCATGTCTTTGAAGTCAGCAAAAGAGATATGGGATTATCTCAAGAATGAATATGAAGGAGATGAAAGAATTAAAGGGATGCAAGTCCTTAACTTGATTAGGGAATTTGAACTTCAAAGAATGAAGGACTCTGAGACGATTAAAGATTACTCCGATAAGCTTCTGAGTATCGCAAACAAAGTAAGGCTTCTTGGATCTGAATTTACTGACTCAAGAATTGTAGAAAAAATTCTTGTTACAGTACCTGAAAGATATGAAGCAACCATCACTGCCTTGGAGAATACAAAGGATCTGTCAAAAATTTCCTTAACAGAATTGCTTAATGCTTTGCAAGCACAAGAACAAAGAAGACTGATGAGGGAAGATACAACAATTGAAGGAGCTTTGGCAGTCAAGCATCAAAATGTGGCCAAAAGCAAAAGAAAGAAGAAAAAAGATTTTGAAGAAAATGGGGCAAGTACTGCATCAGCCAATGCAAAAGGAAAGAATGAAAATCAGAAGAAATCCTATTCACCTTGCCAACATTGTGGAAAGAAGGGTCATCTTCCATTTAGACGCTGGAGAAGACCTGATGCTAAATGCACTAAATGTAATCAGATGGGGCATGAAGCTGTTATCTGTAAAAACAAAAATCTGCAACATGGTGAAGATGCAAAGGTTGCTGATCAAGAGGAGGAGGATCACTTGTTCGTAGCTACATGTTTCTCCGGCATCGAATCAAGTGAGAGTTGGCTTATAGATAGTGATTGTACTAACCACATGACACATGATAAGGATCTATCCAGGGAACTAAGCAACACAAACTCATCGAAAGTTCGAGTTGATAATGGCAAGTACATAACTGTGAAGGGAAAAGGAACAGTTGTAATTTTAACTTGTTCAGGTACAAAGTTCATTTCTGATGTATTATATGTCCCTGAAATTGATCAAAACTTGTTAAATGTTGGACAACTAATTGAAAAGGGTTATAAAGTTGTGTTCGAAGATAAAAGTTGCTTGATTAAGATGCAGTTGAACCAAAGATATTTTCAAAGTAAAAATGAAGGGAAAAGCTTTGCTCTAAATCTATTGAGGAGGAGCAAACTGCTTTCCCAATCAAAAAAAATATCACTGAAGTATGGCACAAGAGGCTCAGGCACTATCATCATCAGGGGCTGCTGCAGATGAAATCCAATAATATGGTAAATGATTTTTCGGAACTTGATGATCATATTCCAAACTGCAAAGCATGTCAGTTTGGAAAGCAAAGTAGGAAACTATTTCTCAAGGAAACATGAAGAGCAACAAAGAAGTTACAATTAATTCATACTGATATTGCAGGCCCACAAAGAACGCCTTCTCTGAAAGGTAGTCTTTATTATGTTGCATTCATTGATGATTTCACCTGTATATGTTGGATCTTCTTTTTAAAGTACAAGTCAGAGGTGGCTCAAGTCTTCTGGAACTTTAAAGCCAGAGTTGAGAACGAGAGTGGCTGTAGAATTCAAACTCCAGACCAGACATGGGCCAAAGTACACTTCTGAAGCAATCACTCATTTTTGGTGAAGAGGCAGGCATCCAACATCAATAACCGCTCCCATACACTCCACAAACAAAATGGCGAATGTGAGAGACAGAATAGATTCATAATTGGAGGATGAACAGCGATGTATGCTACATGAGAAAGAACCTGTCAAAAGCAATTTTGGGTGAAGCAGTAAATACTGCTGTTTTTTTGTAAACAGGCTTCCCACAAGAGCAAGTGAAGGATCAAACACCCTTTGAGGGCATGGTATGGTTTATAAACCATCTCTGAATTTCCTTAAAATATTTGGATGTTTGTGCTTCACTTATGTTCCACAGACCAAGAAAGATAAATTAGATAAAAGAGCACTTTCAGGCATCTTCATTGGCTACAGCTCAGTTGCAAAAGCTTATAAAGTTTTCCAGCCACAAACTGGAAAAATTATTATAAGCAGGGATGTGCACTTTATGAAAGATGAAGAGTGGAACTGGGATGATGAAAAAAAGATGGATCCAACCTTAAAAGAGCACAAGCTCAAGTTTCCTAGCATTGGAGACTGAGAGAATGAAATGGTGGATGACAGTCCTATCAGAGGTACAAGACTACTTTCTGATGTTTATCAAAGATGCAATATTGCTGTGTGTGAACCTACAAATTATGAAGAGGCCAAGACGGATCAAAATTGGATTGTTGCAATAAAGGAGGAGCTATTCATGATTGAAAGGAATGAAACATGGGAGTTGGTTGATCGACCCCAAAACAGAAAAGTAATTGGAGTCAAATGGGTGTATAGAACCAAGCTTAATGTTGATGGCTCAATCAACAAGTATAAAGCTAGACTCGTGGTCAAAGGATATGCTCAAATACTCGGTGTGAACTACTCAGATACTTTCGCACCAGTTGCTAGACTCGACACCATTAGGTTCTTACTCGTCGTTGCAGCACAAATGAATTGAAAAGTGCACCAATTAGATGTCAAGTCAGCATTCTTGAATGGTTTTCTGTAGAAGGAGATTTATGTAGAACAACCAGAAGGCTATGTTAAGGAAGGAGAAGAAGATAAGGTTTATCTTCTTAAAAAGGCACTTTACGGATTGAAGCAAGCTCCAAGAGCTTGGTACAACATGATTAATGAACATTTACAGAACTTGGGATTTGTCAAAAGCTTATCTGAATCAACTTTATATGTCAAGCACAATGGAGTTAACATTCTTATCATCTCACTATATGTGGATGACTTACTTGTGACAAGAAACAACACAAGTATTGTGGAGAAGTTTAAGTAAGAGATGATGGAGTTTTTTGAAATGACAGATCTTGGATTGATGACCTTTTTTCTTGGAATGGAAATCAAACAGAATGAACATGAAGTCTTCATCTGTCAGAAGAAATATGCCAAGGAGATTTTGAAGAAGTTTAAACTCGAAAAATGTAAAGAAATGAGGACACCAATGAACTCAAAGGAAAAGCTCTGTAAAGAAGATGGAACAGAGAAGATTGATCAGGCATATTTTAGAAGCCTGATTGGTTGCTTAATGTTTCTCACAGCAACTCGGCCTGACATTTTGAATGCTATAAGCATTTTATCTTGGTTTATGCATTATGCAAGTGAATGGCATCTCAAGGCTACAAAGAGGGTGCTTAGATATGTGAAAGGCACAAGTGATTTTGGCATTAAATACACAAAGAGCAAAGAGTTCAAGCTGGTTGGTTTCTCAGACAGTGATTGGGGAGGTTCCATTGATGATATGAAAAGCACTTCAGGCTATTGTTTCACATTTGGTTCTAGTGTTTTCTCATGAAGCTTGAAAAAACAAGAAATTGTAGCTCAATCCACAGCTGAAGCAGAGTTTATTGCTGCAACAGCTGCTGTTAATCAAGCTTTGTGGCTAAGGAAGATTTTAATCGATCTTAACTTAGAGCAGGAGGAAAGCACGAAGATTCTTGTTGAAAATCAAGCTGCCATTGCTATCTCTCAAAATCCTGTGTTTCACGGGAAAACTAAACATTTTAATATTAAACTATTCTTCTTAAGGGAAGTAAAGAAAGATGGAGTTGTTGTTCTTGTCTACTGCAAAACAAAAGATCAGGTTGCAGATGTTTTCACCAAGCCACTGCCAGTTAGCAAGTTTGAATTTCTGAGGACAAAACTTGGTGTTTGCAGCTCCTAAAGCAAGGAGGAGTGTTAGAAGATGTGTTTAGGACTGCTAATGTAGATTCATTGAATGTTTCATGTTGTTCATATTTTTTTGATGTTAGTTATTTTTTGTTATTCATGCTAGTGATCATGGCTTAATCTTAGAATTATGATTTTAGTGGGTAGTTATTAATTAGGCTTTAAATTATAATATTTCTGATGTTAAGATATGTAGTAGTGAGTAAAGTTTTCTTTGCTTCAAAAATAACAACAGACTGAACAGCATGTGCCCTTCCAATGGTCGAAGCAAAAGCCTAAGCTAAGCCTATGTACTTCACTTTACCTACTTCGACTAGTTTATTAAGTTCACCCGTCTGGGTTGAAACAAAACAAGTAACAGCCAATAAAAAGATCAATGATGCTCTTTTTTCAACTAGAATAACAGATCATGACAATGAAAAAAGCAGAGAACAAAAGTACCGTGACTTCAATGGGAACCCTAGTATCAATCCAGTGCTTATAATAAAGATTAATACAATCAAAGTCAAGACGTTTCAAGCTGTCTTCACAGGCTGCCCTGACATCAGCAGTTGGTCACCACCGATTTACCTCTTGCCTTCAGTATAGTCTATACCAAACGTAGCAGCCAATTCAACCCTGTTTCTGTCATCGTCTTTCAGGGCCTCACCAATAAGGATTTCAGAGTGGCCAATTCGACTCTGCCCTGATAAAAATAATATATACCAGTACTACAAGTAAGGAGTGAGGGATTTTGTTTCGTGATTATGGTAAAGTAAATGTTTTATTATTCGAATTTTAATCTTTAACACATTATAACACGGATTCATATTTCCTATAATTTTATTTTTTTATAATATTATAATTAATCAATCATAATTAAAAATTATTTAAAAATTCACCACTTAAAAATATAAATTCTACATAATTTTTTTAATAAATTTCATATAATATTAATTATAATTGATTAATTACATAACAATAATTATAAATAATATATCCTCACACGTATCCATGTCACCTATAATTTTATTTTAATAATATTATAATTATTCAATTATAATTAATTTTATCATAATTATTATTTTTAATTTTATCGAACTCAATTTCATCTCAAATTCGAATAAATGTTATTTTAATAATTAAATGTTAGAAATTTGAGCAGAGTGCATCGGACGGCTGAGAAGCATTTTAGCGTGAGACAACCATCCATTATCATCTAACTACCACATTGGAAAAACACCCCGAATTGGCGGGAGAAGGAGGTTAAGACTCAGCACCCAAACTTACAAGGGAAGCTACCTAGGGTTTCAAAGTAATGGTGAACTTGCATATAATTAGGGCAAAGTGATCTAAAGTACGCGGCAGCAAAATGCTAGCAGGGAGAGAAAGTTTGAGCAGATTGATCGGCAAACGACGCCGTTTTCTTCCTCACCTTCAATCTATTCTCTCCTCGCCAATCCAGGTAAACCGCTCTTTCTTTCATTGATTTGGTTGCTTATCTCATAGAAAGCTATCAATGTTATCAATGTTACAGCTCTTTGATTTAATATGTTGCAATGTTTCATTGATGTTGAAATCTCATTAAAATTGAGTTTCTTTTGGCTTTCTAATATACCATTTGCCAGTGTTGCATGGCCACTTATAGGTAAAGAGGCATATCTTCTGCCAATTATTTTCAGATCTTAATTTCAGGATTCCTTAGGCAGTTCTGAATTGTGATAAAAGAACAAAAGCATTCAAAGCTAACAGTAAATTTTGATGGGATAGATAATGCTAAGCAATTTACCTAGGTAACTAAATATGGGAAGTATTAAGCACAAAATTTTCAAGTCCATTCTTTTTTTTTTTAAACAAAAGAGATTGTAATGGGTTGCAGGTTCTGAAATCTAAATCCCAGACCAGCTAGATGCTACATCTTAAGGGTTGCTATATGAACCAACTGCGCTAAACTCCGGGTTCATTTTCAACTCCATTCTGCAATAAATAAAAGCTTAACTAGGAAGAACTAAAAATTGGTAGGGTGAACATAAGCATATATTACAATGATATTTCTAGACAGAGAACTTATTCTCAGAACACAAGCATATAAACTTCACATACAAACTTCTCTGTTTGTGGACTCACAAGTCACACCAACATTTGATAATCTGGACAGAGAACTTATTCTCAGAACATAGGAGGAACTCAACATGGTTCCAAACATCTAAAGGCAGTATTGTAGCTCATTTATTAGATTGTATAGATGCAACAAAAATGCATCTTCTCAAACAGGTTTCCATGAAGATAAAGGTGGGGTATCAGAGTTCTTATAGGTTGTGACAGTGTCCCCATATCTGTCTCCTTTTACAGCATCTGCTGAAGCAATGGATTCTAGTTCAGCCATCTCTTCAGGTGTTAGTTTCACAGACAAAGCCCTGATATTCTCATTTAGGTTTTCAACTTTTGTGGTTCCAGGTATTGGACAGACATCATCCCCTTGGTGATGGACCCAGGCTAATGCAAGCTGTGATGGACTGCACCCTTTTCTCCTTGCTATCTCATTAACCCGCTCAAAGAGGTGTTTGTTATGCTCAAGATTTTCAGGTTGGAACCTTGGAAGAAACTGTGGCAATTAAAGAGCTAAGACAACATGAAAATTATACAGAAGCAAATGAAAATTAACTTTTAGCAGGAAAGTCAGTAATAGAAAGAGCAGCTAGATAAATCTGAAACTCGAAGGCCCCTTCAATTGATACTGAGTGAATCCAGATGTAGTCAAAAACTCCAAGAACAAACTTTTCATTACTAAAGAAACTAAGATATAGAAGTTTTGGTTATTCATACCCTGACATATCATGAGTCTACTAGAACTAAGATTGTTCTATTGTATGGACATTCATCAAATATGTTATGGGAACGAACCTTCCTGGCGTCCCCATCAGAAAAAGTTTCCACCAGTTTTGGCCCTGAGGAAAAGAATCCTCTCCCCAGAGGGCTATAGGCAACAATACCAATACCAAGTTCCCTGAGAAATGAAAAGGAATGAGACACTAGAATTTGGAATTGTTAATGATCCAACAATATTGTTGGTACTCTTATCCATGACTAACCTGCAAGTAGGAATTATTTCTTCCTCAACATCTCTAGCCCACAAGGACCATTCCAACTGCACAGCAGTTATTGGATGAACACCATGTGCCCTTCTGATAGTTGATGCAGAGGCCTCGGAGAGACCTATATACTTTATTTTACCCTCCTCAACTAATTTCTTCAGCTCTCCCACCTGTAAAAACACCCACTTTTTATTTTTCTTTGAAAAGCAAAAGAAAAACAAGTAGTACCAAATAAAAGAGCAGATTGAACCCAAGGTTAGCTAAATTGGTTTATGCAATCACTGATGATATTCAACAGGTCCGGAGTCTGAATCTTGACACTTGCAATCCAGACTGCGGGTACCAAATAAAATAAATAAATAAATAAAAGAGAAGATCAGAAACAACAGACCGTGACTTCAATAGGAACCCTGGTGTCAATCCGATGCTGATAATAAAGATCGATACACTCCACACCAAGGCGTTTCAAGCTACCTTCACAAGCCTCCCTTACATAAGCAGGGTCACCCCGGACTTCCGCTTTACCATCCACAAAACGAGCACCAAATTTAGTAGCCAATTCAACTCTGTCTCTGACATCTTTCAAGGCCTTTCCCAGAAGGATTTCATTAGTATGGGGACCATAAACATCGGAAGTGTCGAGGAAAGTGATTCCACAGTTGATGGCGTGGTGGATGAGGTTGATCATGTCAGGTTCAGGCTTGGGTGGACCGTAGAAGGCTGACATGCCCATGCAGCCTAAGCCTTGAGCTGATACTTCCAGGCCTTGGGTGCCTAGCTTTATTCTCCCCACTTTAGTTTCCATTTCTTCTTTCTTTCTTTCAACAGTAACAGGTTAAGCAATGGAGTTTTTGCTGCTATCTTTTTCTGGCTTTATACAGCAGCACTGCAAGCATAGTGTTGACTTGACCCAGTCAACTATGTACTTCACTTTACCTACTTCGACTAGTTTATTAAGTTCACCCGTCTGGGTTGAAACAAAACAAGTAACAGCCAATAAAAAGATCAATGATGCTTTTTTTTCAACTAGAATAACAGATCATAACAATGAAAAAAAGCAGAGAAAAAAGTACCGTGACTTCAATGGGAACCCTAGTATCAATCCAGTGCTTATAATAAAGATTAATACAATCAACGTCAAGACGTTTCAAGCTGTCTTCACAGGCTGCCCTGACATCAGCAGTTGGGTCACCACCGATTTACCTCTTGCCTTCAGTATAGTCTATACCAAACGTAGCAGCCAACTCAACCCTGTTTCTGTCATCGTCTTTCAGGGCCTCACCAATAAGGATTTCAGAGTGGCCAATTCGACTCTGCCCTGATAAGGAGTGAGGGATTTTGTTTCGTGATTGTGGTAAAGTAAATGTTTTATTATTCGAATTTTAATCTTTTAACACATTATAACACGGATTCATATTTCTTATAATTTTATTTTTTTATAATATTATAATTAATCAATCATAATTAAAAATTATTTAAAAATTCACCACTTAAAAATATAAATTCTACATAATTTTTTAAATAAATTTCATATAATATTAAATTATAATTAATTAATTACATAACAATAATTATAAATAATATATCCTCACACGTATCCATGTCACCTATAATTTTATTTTAATAATATTATAATTATTCAATTATAATTAATTTTATCATAATTGTTATTTTTAATTTTATCGAACTCAATTTCATCTCAAATTCGAATAAATGTTATTTTAATAATTAAATGTTAGAAATTTGAGGAGAGTGCATCGGACGGCTGAGAAGCATTTTAGCGTGAGACAACCATCCATTATCATCTAACTACCACATTGGAAAAACACCCCGAATTGGCGGGAGAATGAGGTAAAGACTCAGCACCCAAACTTACAAGGGAAGCTACCTAGGGTTTCAAAGTAATGGTGAGCTTGCATATAATTAGGGCAAAGTGATCTAAAGTACGCGGCAGCAAAATGCTAGCAGGGAGAGAAAGTTTGAGCAGATTGATCGGCAAACGACGCCGTTTTCTTCCTCACCTTCAATTTATTCTCTCCTCGCCAATCCAGGTAAACCGCTCTTTCTTTCATTGATTTGGTTGCTTATCGCATAGAAAGCTAAAAATGAAGTTTTTCTTCTTCTTCTTTTTTTTTTCCCTTTGATTTTACATTTTTAGAGCTCTTTGAATCTCTTGTCTGATAAAAATGGAAGCTTGGCTGAAACCGAAGGTTCCAAAGACAAGGTTGAAATGCCCAATTGTGATTTGGTAACCTGCCCTGTTTGTGGGAATAAAGTTTCTGGTGAAGATTACACTATCAATTCTCATCTGGGTATTTTTCTTTTCTTTTTTCTGATAATGCTATTAATTGGATATTGCTCTTTCCTATTTGATTTTGATTTTAGATCCTTTAATATGAATTAAGGGATTCAGATGGATGTCTTTCTAGAGGAACCAAACGGAAGTTGACTCAGAGGACGCTTCTTCAGTTAAACTTTGGTTGTTCTCAATCAAAAGTTCAAATTTCTTCAGGTGAATCAGAACAGTTGTCGACTAGTGACCTTGATAAGAGTCCTTGCGACTCTGAACAGAATGCTACTGGTGGCTTCTCGAAAACCATTCCAAGTGAAGAACAGAGCCATGACCAGCGCAGACAATTGCCGTGTACTGAGAGTGTTATACGAATTGATATAGCTGGTTCAACCGAAAATCCAATTAGTGATGGAAGCGTGAACATCATGGATGAGCTTCCTGTGTTGTCCACTGATAATGAGGAGCCTAGACATTGTATGGATGAAACTGTGGACAGCATATCTGGGATGCCTATTGATACTTTTATTGTTGGTCGTAGGTTTAGTGACGAAAAGGATGTGAATCTTGGGGCGAGCATATCTCTCCTGAGAGACCCTGATAATATTAAGGATTCTAATGCTATCAAGGTTCACTTGTTTTTGCATATCGTTATTTTCTGCTCTTTTTCTTCTTTTTTTTTAAACTACTAATTCAAATTTGCACCTTATTTTTTTAATCAGGTTGTTTCTGCAAGTTCTGCATGCTCTAAAACGCTTGGTTATCTCCCTCGAGAGCTAGCTCAGTATTTATCTCCTCTGATTGAGAAGTACTGCTTGAGCTTTGAGGTGATGTAGCTGGAAAAAAATTGTTCAGCTTTTTCTTTCTTTTTTTTTTTTTAAGTTATTCTTATGTATGTATGTATGGTTATATGTCTTCAGTATTGTATGAAGTATGAACCATAAAATGAATACGCAAAGAACATGAGTAAATCACTCCTTTAATGGGAACTGAAGGAAAGAATGCGAATAAACTAACACGTGCAGAAAGCCTCAACCCATCAATGGGAAAAGGGAGTCCGGTGGAAAATAAGGTGCCATATAAGTTTATTGGCATCACTGAATAATAATATAGCAACTAATAAAGATAGTAAAAAGGAATAAAAAGACCTCTACCACTCATTTATTTTGATTCCTTGCGGATCTAAGAACTAAAAACCTTGTAAGATTGGAGATTTGTCCCTCTAGGGACCTAAGTTCTCAACCAACTGGGCAGAATCTTTTTTTTTTTTTCCTTTTTTTTGCAGTGGGGTGTTGAATCATAGATTAATGTCTAAAAAGTCATCCTCCTCCCTAACTCTCTTCCTTATCTTGGCATCTTATACTCCATTGTTTTTAAAAAAGTTCCACATGTCATGAACTTTTTATCTTCACAGGCTTTTAAGTATAGGGAAGAAAATAGTTCTGTGACATTCTTTTTGGGTATCAAATTTATATATTGCCTTCATTAATACATTTTGATTAAGTAACCTGGAATAGGCTGCATATACCTAGCCAAAAAAGGGGTTATATAGTTGATATATGCAGTATATGATCAACTTAATGCAAATGTTGAAATTATATGTTTCTCTCTCTCTCTCTCTCTCTTGATAAATATTCATGTAGTCATACTTACTCTTTTAATCAATCAACTTGTCACACTCTTAGATCTTGTAAAATTATGGAAACTGACAAGACTCTAGTTCTCATCTCACTTTAGGGCTTCTTGCAGGGATATGTGATTGCTGTTCCCAGACATTCGGTAGACGCTGTTCCAATTCAGATTGTGTGTCAGAACATGATGTTTAATGATGAAAAAGGATGTGATAATTTTGAGGATTTCAAACATTTGTGGCGAAAAGCTCTTCAAGTAGTTGAATTTGCGAAGAATCGCCCACCTAATACAACAAAATATCAGCAAAACTTTTGTCTATTACTACAGGAGGTTCTAACAAGCAGCAATCACCTTTTCACTGAAGATGAAAAGAAATTCATTGGTACTGGTTCAAATTCTTGGTTTTAACATTTCTTCCTGTCATTTAAGTTCTACTTGATTTTAATGCCTATATCATCTGTTGACAGAATCATTCACTTCATTATCAGAGGATAGTCAGAGGCTTTTTGTTCGGCTTTATACACGGAAAGGTTTTCTATTGCAAGATTAAGTTTCTATAATATCCTCTCCCCCACAACCTCTGAATTCAGTTTTGATTTATTCTTGAATTTATGGCTGCATTCTACATTACTGGTCCGTATACATTGGCTCTATTGGCTGCTTAATATTGAACTCCGATCGACTTAATCTGTTAGGCACTGGATCCTGGTCACTTGTTACTTGTTGCTAAATTATCAATTGAATATACCGGTTATGTTACTTTGATCATTGACCTACTCAAGCTTTTATAGTTGGATTCTTTTTAACTGGCTTCTTTTTTTTGCGTGTCTAAATAGGTATCTAATAGTTCATTTTACTGTCAATAGATGATGTATAATGGATTAAATCATTAAAAATGACTGGATTTCTTTTCCATATTGAGTTGATGTTTGCTTACTTAGCAGCTATTCATCAGCAGAAACAGCCTTGTATGTGCACTCAACTTGACTAAGCCCTACTCCCGAGTTTGTTGGTGGGTTCTCCCTAGATTTATCCAACATAAAACCAATGCCATAAGATGGTTAGAATTGGAGTTCTGATAACTATATTTATCCGTGATATTTTTATATACTTCTATCTCACTTCATTCATTCTTTTGATTCTTCTTCCACTTCTTCGAGGAGGAGTGTTTTGTGATAGGTTGGTGGCCAGCATAACACTATAGTCACATCTTAAAAACACGAATCCTAGGAAAAAAATGTTTTTATGACTGACCTTGTAGTTTCCTTAGTCACTAATATGTAGGATTGCAGTATATCATGTCTTCCTGGTATGTGCTGGGTGTATTGCTTATACATATAAACATTGACATATTTCATTGAAATAGAAATACGAACTGTTGTTTCTATAAAGGTGATTTTTTGTTGTATGAAATATGTAATTATGTGTGATACACATGTTTACAAAGTATTCGACATTGTGCTATAGAAAGTGGTTAATCTACCATTTTACATTGTCCAAAACTTGCTCATTTGTTTCCATAGCCAAAAAATTTCATCATGCTATTTTTAATTCAGGACCTTGGTTTCGAATGTCAACCATTATGTACCCTGAAGTATGTAATCCTCAACAAGCTGTCAAGGAGCTATCTGGTAATTTAAGTTTACAAATATATTAGCTACAACTTCTATACTAAATTCTGCACTCCTTAATGGTAAATTTGTTATTTATGTGACATTGCAGCAACTGGCTATCTGTGTCTCATTGAAGATATAACTGAACTACACGGTGATGACATGAAGGACATTTTAAGTCTGCTCACTGTTTCTGAGCTTCGTGATATTTTATGTACACTTAGAAAGGTTTGGATTTTATATGTTGACTTCTTTTTGTTCTTTGTGTCACTCTTGCATTTCTGTACTTTTTAAAAGCATTTCTAGTGATCCTTGCCGTGTTATTTCAGTCTTGGAATGTAATTAGGATATTTGTTAGTGTCATGTGATATTGGCCAAGTTGTTTGGCAATATGGTTGTCTAACATTTCACGAGAATTTCTAACTTAAGTTCTTTTTTTTTCTCATCCTTTCTGGTTATCATGTGTAAATGTTTTTGACCACTGACCATGCAATATTTGCAATTTTTTTATTTACAAAAAAAAGCTAATAAGAAAGTTCAGCTATGCAATTGCCCCATGAAAGGGGAAAAAGAGTGAAAAAAAACTGGTGTGCAATACCCTAAGGTATAAATTTTTTATTGACCCTTTGTTTTTTCTTTTATACATAGAATCTATGAGAAAAATGATGCAACTATGGTTCAAATACTAAAGGGTTTATTGGACCGTGAGCAATCAAATACAGTTTTCTCTTTAAATAATTTATTTTCACTTTGATAATACTGTTCCCTGGAACGTTTGTATCTGATCGTGTATGTATTTTACAAATGAAGCAACACTTTTTACAGAGCTAAAGCACTACTAATGAATGTTCTAGTTATATCTGTATGATATTGAAATTGTAACATATTAGCATCTTCTGTTCATATCAATTGTGTGATCTAATCGAGACAATGAGGCTTTTCTTACATACGTGGTTTTGGTTTCTGTTATAAGTTACTCTTATGCAAGATTTCCAATGTTATTTATTGCATATATTTTATAAATGTTTAGGTTTCTTTGAGATAATGTGGCACCAAAACATATACTTTTATCCCATGTTATTTCTCTTCAAGCATGACTGTAATTTTACTGTTCATCATTACTTATAAGCATAATCTGAGGTCAACGCCTGTAGTTAAAGCACATTTTAAGTTTGACTGTACTACAAATAGTAAAGGGAGCATTTTGGTTGGGTCTTTCTAATTTTGGTTGATTCCATAGTTTATGCTCCTAAAGTGATAGATTGGCCTTCGATGACTACACATTAAGAGATCTGCTGTGTGGACAGATACGGGTCAAACATTTTATTTATGTTTATTTATGTTTAGTACAGTAACAATTATATGGACAAGTGATTTTGCTTGAGTAAATAAGTGCATTTAGATCAAAATTCATAATAGACTACAATACAAGTTTTTCAAAAGTCAGGGCATGCTTGGCTATTATAATCATCCTATTAATTTGCATGTTGAGGCTCCTCATTTCTGGTAGTTCTAATCAGTCATTTTTTATACTGAAATTCTTAGTAAAGGTCCACTGGACCCAAAGTTTTAGCTTCTATTTAATAGTTGTGATGTGAAGTATGTGTTTCTTACTCGTTCCTTTGATGGTCCTTTGCATTCTGTTGAGGTTTCAGAAACGTACTCATGGTTCAAGAAAGCAAAATCTTATTGCATCTCTTCTTTCCTGCTATAAAGGTGGAACTTGGTAATATGATTTCATAACAAGAATTCATCAGTTTTATGTATTTTGCAAGTCCAACTGTATGTGTTTATTTTGATTTGCTATTGTTGCTTTATAATTTGCAGCCCTGTTCTACCACACTTGATTTTGGAGAGAACTGAGATTTGTATTAGGACATCTTCAGAAGCTGAATCCCTTTTTTGGCGTGCTGAGGTGCTTGCACTACAGTTCTGCCCTCAATACCACAGTGATATTTTATATGGTGTATAACAATTAAATGTAATAAGTTTGGTTTTGTACTGCAGAGGCTCTTCTTCCTAAATGGAGAACAGGATCTGTCAGCATTCCTACTGGTGGATCTGGGGATTGTCAAGTATCCTACTTTCAACTGCATAATTTCAGAACAGATTTTCCCAAGTAAAAGTGACTTGCTTGCTTATGAAGAGGTCTTAGTTTCTCTCTATGTGAAAATGCAGCCAAAGTTTCGTTGCCTTTACCACATGTAATTGTAATGTGTTGCAGGCCATTGAAGTAGCTCAATTAATGGATCAGTCTCTAGAAGAAAACAGCTTTGACTTGGTTTTAAGATGCATCATGATAGCTGAGTCCCGAACATCCAGGTCTCCTGAAAAATTGATTGATTCCACAACTCCTGAATTAATGTCTAGATTTCTTTCATGCTTCTCAGCATCATGGGTGTATTCCAAAGTGATCTTGCTAGGAATTTCCTTCCTCGAGCGTGAGCATAGGTATGGAATTATGAACCTCATCACATGCTTCTTTTGGTAAAATTCCCCTTATCTTTTTATAACTTGTCTTACATCTACTGAGACAACATTAAAGGGAACTCATTAACTTTTAAACTCTTTTATCTTTCTGGGTTTTGCCATTGTGTTTCAATGCATGATTGTATGCTTACAACCACCAATGATCCCTTAAAAATTTCCTATTTCAAAATAGTGGTGGTAGTAGCAGTCATATTGGTGGTGGTTTTGCTTGGTTAGTAGCAGTAGCAAGAGTAGGAGCAGTGATAGTAGCAATAGTAGTATTTGCTAGCAGTGGTAGGAATAGTGCTAGCAAAAGGCAGAAGTAGTAATGGTGGCAGATTGGTGGTAGTGGTATACAAAGAGAATAATACAACCATCAATTATCCAATAATGAACAAACTAATACAATGAGGAAAACTCATTAGTGAACCTTAAAATATCATTGAGCATAGTGCTCCTTACTCATTAACCTGATCTGTGTGGAAAGATTAAAGATCCTGATGCATAAGAAAACATCACATCTATGGAAATTGTTGGTTTTTGATATTTTTATAATTCTATCTGGGCCTCAGGTACAATGATGCGATACATTTACTAAGGCGATTGCTTAATTGCTTCACATGTGATAGAAGAAGAGGATATTGGACTGTAAGATTATCTGTTGATTTGGAGCATATGGGCTGCCCCAATGAGAGCCTTTCAGTTGCTGAGGCTGGATTATTAGATCCTTGGGTCCGTGCCGGTTCAAGAATGGCACTACAAAGGCGGGTTCTTCGCTTGGGAAAACCGCCAAGGCGCTGGAAAACTCCAAGCTTTTCAGAATCAATTAAGAGGAAGATAAAAGAGGTATTTCTTAATTTTTCCTTCTCTGGGTTTCAGGTCTTGAAATTTTCCCGGAACTATGCACTTAAAGTTACTAAGTTTATCTAATTAATACTATTAGTTTTCATCCTGAGAAATACAGGTTCATATTCAAGGGAGACCATTGAATTGTGAAGCTGGTAGAAAAAGCAGGTTCTATGGGGAAGATGGAGAGCAATGTGGAGTAGAACAGCTAGCTCTGCATTATTATGCAACGGAAGGTGGATGGCAGGGTGTCCATACAGAGAGTGGTATCTGGTTGACTATTTTTGGCCTTCTCATGTGGGATGTTTTATTTTCTGATTTACCAAATGTTTTTCGCACCAGATTTCAGGTATGATGCTCAATGCCAGTCATCAAACACTCTTGTTATTTTGAATTGCTTTTGCAAATTGGTGATGCTTTGTAATGCTTTACATGCAAGTATGTGATTTCTTGATGCTGACATGTTAATTTTATTGCAATGCACATTCAAGAGTAGGCATCTTTCCTGATGGAATTGTAACTGCTATTACAGAATTCTGTTCTAGCAAACTGTATGGTATTATTATAGTTAGGATGTATGAGGTGTTTTGTAGACATAGGTAGGAAAGTGAGTTTGAATCAGATGGAGCAAGTTTTATTAGCTCTCTTACCTTTGTAAGTCAATATTTTATAATGTTCCTTCTACCCTTAAGAATATAATTATCATATGTCACCACGCTTTAATTTTCTAAACTTATTTGAAATAGTGAATAGGTGAATGGAGCTGTGACAGGTTAATGCTATGTTTACAAGCTAAGAGAGGTAGGAAAGAAAAGGAGAATGGGGGAAAGGAGAAGTAGGGCACTGTTGACCTTGTTTGGATTACATAAAAAGAAGAGTGAAAGGAAAGGAAGGAATATATTAGAAAACTTGTTGGGTTAAGGAGCAAAAAAGGAAGGAAATGATAACTTATTATATACTTTATAATTAAGCCCCTTGTAAGTTAAAAGGAAATGGAACTAATTTTAGTGAGGAATTTTTCCCTCTAATCCCCTCAATCTGACGGTTTCAGAGTGGGAGGGCTACTCACACTCCTCAAATCTCTCTTCTACATTTAAAATGTTTCTCAAATTAGGAAAGGGAAATCTTGTCAGAAGCGGACCGGACCAGCTGGTTGGACCATGAATCAGAGTTCAGGAATTGGTAAAAACTACCCTTTCATCCAAATGGACCAGACCGGCTAGTTTGACTGGACTGTTTTAGCTGGATTTGACTGGTTTTTATTATTTAAAGTATGATTTATTCTTTAAAATATTTTGTAAGTTGTAAGATTGAGCCCTTACCCATTTAAAGTTTCATTAATGTGCCAACCATCAAGTCAAATGTATATATATGTTGCAAATCTGTCCTATTTAATATATATTTAATAACAAATATTGCATTGAAGGCATAATCAATGCATACAAATGAACTGGCCCGTTGAACCGAGAACCAGACATCTTAAAACATTGGAAAAGATGCAACTCTTCTTCCTTTGCCTTCCTTTCCCTTCCCTTCAATCCAAACAACACCTAAGTAATACCAAGCCTGATATTAGATTTGTTAGATATTTGGGCAACGCTGCGTGTAAAATATTAGAAAATGATACAGATAGCTTCTATATACTGTTTTAATTGAAAAGATTGGAACAAATGAATTTTTTTACTTTCAGGTTGTCAGATTAGAACGTATAAGGTATTAACTATCTAGTTTGTTGTTGTGTACGTGGTTTCTCATGAAACATGAAGCTAAACTTGTCACTTTGAAAATTTTTGTCATGTTGCTTGGATCATACTGTGAGTACATGTTCAAAAAATGAGGACTGCTGGGCTCTGGCTGCAATTAGCTGTTATATATGGCAAAAATTGAGAAGGTTGGAGAGACAGAATGCGGAAACTAAAAAATTTCTCCACCCTTTAAATGATAACATGCTGGTAAATCATTTATATACTTGTTGGCATGGTTGCTTCAAACATGTGTATATTTGGGGAGAAAGGAGATAGTTTTGGCTTAATAATGAATTCAAATTCTGTGAAAATTTTCTTTTTCATTTTTCTTTGGATGAATTATATGAGTTAAATTTGTGTCTAAGTGGGTTTCTACAAAGAAGTAAAGATATTTCCTTTTGCAGACTGCTCCCTTGGATCTGGAGACTGATCATTTTTATCTAGCAAGAACAAGCCTTATAGAGTCCCAACTACAAAAGATTCAGGAAGGGTTGGCAGAAGAGATTCTCATAGCTTCATGGGAATTGCATATTGGAACAGCTTGTAGAGGAGTTAATTGGGACCGACACTCCCTTTCTGACCTTCGAGCAGCTGTTTCATGCATTCGAGGTCCTTGTTTGGCCTCTTTCTGCAGACATCTTGCTCAGGATTATCGCAGTTGGTCTAGTGGAATGCCAGATTTGTTTCTCTGGCGCTTCCATGGCGACTACAAAGGTGAAGCCAAACTTGTTGAAGTTAAGGGCCCCAGAGATCAACTCTCTGAACAACAAAGAGCATGGTTACTGCTTCTAATGGATTGCGGATTCATCGTAGAGGTTTGCAAAGTGAGCCCTGCAATAACGTTCCCTTGAGGTCAATTACCATACCATGTTGTTCAGATTGCAGATTATCAGAGCTGGTTCCAGTGGAATGCCAGATTTGTTGCTCTGGCTCTTCCACGGCGATTACAAAGGCAAAGCAAAACTTGTCGAGGTGAAGGGCCCCAGAGATCAACTCTCTTAACAACAAAGAGCATGGTTGCTGCTTCTAATGGATTGCGGATTCAACGCAGAGGTTTGTAAAATGAGCCCTGCAATAACATCCCCTTGAGGTCAGTTACCATACCATGTTGTTTGTGACAAAAATCAAAGTCTTTCCAGGACATGGGTCCAATGTTGTTATAGTTTCTTCAACAAATATGTTAACAAGTTACCATGGAATTCATTGTCCATTGTTTTGTAATTGTTCCATGAAACGTAAAGAAACAAACATTTTTTCATTTTCTGGAGGTAAAAAATTGGCAGAGTGGTTCTTTATTAAGGTCTTTTCTTATGACAATCGAACTAAATAATAAGTTGTATACAGTTACGACAGAAATTTTTTCAACTCTGCAATTGCAAGCGGGAAATCACATGCGGAGTTGGAGGTAATTCAATTATTGTTTAAAAGATTTATGCCATTTTATTAATTTTAATATCGAGATACTTTCATTAAAATATCGTACAAAATCCAACAAATTTCTGTATAAATAATTTTTAATTTTAATCTTATCTTATAAGAAATAACATCCCTACTAATTATTTCTCTAAAAAGGCGAAATTACTTCCTTTAAAATCTAAATCTAAGCCTAAATTTGGGTTTCTTTTCTTTGTTACAAATAAAAACTTTAATGTAATTGTTGTTGATGTTTTGATATAAAAATCGATAAGGATTAAGATCAGCTCATAGACAACCACCATATGATTGGCCAAAAGAAACAAGTGATAAGAGGTTGAATTAATGAAAAGTTTTTTATTAGACATTTCCAATTTCAATATAAAGAACTAAGAAGCATTTTTAATTGGACATCCCAAATACTAAATTTTGATAATTTAATTTATAATCAAACTTCACAAAAAAAAATTGTTTTTTATGGGATAAGAGAGGGTTATTATTATTATTATTATTATTATTATTATATAAAAAAATAATTTATCATTTTTTATACTAATGATTAATCTTTTAAATTTCATAAATAAAATTTATACATATCTATTTAATAATCTTTAATTCATTTAATAATACAATATGGATCGATTCTTTATGGTTGTTATAATTATTTTAATAATGTGATCTAGAGTACTCTTAAATTTTGCCTAATCCTACTTTTTTTTTAATGATTTTAAAAATGTTGTTCTTTACACACATACATATATATATATATATATATATTCAAGATTTTATTTTTAGAATATTTGTTACAAAAATAAAAAATTTGATTGACAAAAAAATATAAATGAAATTATATAGATCCAGTATACTTGTATTTAGTTATTTTATTTCTAGTACATATAAAATATAAAAAATAAAATATATTATTTTTATACAATTTTATATTATATTATTTTTATATCAGTTTATTATATCTCATATTTAAAATTATATTTTTTAAAATTACGTAGCAGCAGGAGGGACCACATGAAGGTGCGGTCCCATTCTTTGGTTTCACTCACATTGCGTTAGTTGGTTGATTAGATTACAAGAATTAAATTAGCATTTCCATTAGCTATTTCCCATTGGAAGTAATGAGTGGTCTCAGCAATTAAAAGACGGGTTTCGCCGACATTAACGTAAACCCCAAAACTCTTTTCATTATTATCTCTACTACGTCATTTTTCTACCTATAAATAAATAAATAAAATCACTAAAAGTAATAAATCCACACTCTCAAGGCCAAACCTTCCAAGACCAGACCAAGTTTCATGTAAGAATACCCATCTCTCTCTGTCTCTTTTTTTTTTCCTTTTAGTGAATTCTATGTTTGGTTTTTCTTGTCCTATGTTTTTACCATTTTTTTCGTTTAACTTTGTACATATTTTTTTTTTTGTAGAAAAAAAGAAAATTTTGTATGATATCTTCCTCTTTAGTTGGTGGGGTTTAAGGGTTTTGGGTTTTTTTTTTTTTTGTTAGATATGATTGTATCATATATGAGGGGTTTTTTTTAATGAATTTTATGTTTGTTTTTTCTTGTCCTTATGTTTTTATCATTTTTTTTCGTTTAGCTTTGTATTTTTTTTTTTTTTGAGGTAGAAAAATAGAAAGTTCTGTATAAAATCTTCCTCTTTTGTTTGTGGGGTTTTGGGTTTTAGGTTTAAGGGTTTTGGGTTTTTTTTGTTAGACATGATTGTATCATATGTTAGGTTTTTTGTAGGCGGTTTGATGGGAGATAGGTTTCTTTTATGAATTCTGGAAATACCCTTTTGCTCTAAATTCGTTTCTTTATCGGAACTTAACTTGTTTTTGTTTTTATTTGTTTTAAGAAAAGGAAAAGAAATGTTGGTACTGTTTTGCTAGTTTGTTTGGAAATGCTTTTCATTCTATGAATACCCTTTTGCTCCAATTACCTTATTTTCTCTTTATGTTTTCCGAAGATTTTTTATTTTATTTCTTTTTTTTTAAAGGAAAAGATAAGAAAATAATAGTAATAATTGGATAACTTTGCAGTTGAATGCAAATATAGCATGTCTTACCAGCAAGATTTCTATTACATGGCCGAAGATTTGGTCGATGACATGGATGAAGACAAGTACGATAGAGCTGGTGAAGACATGGATGGTGATGAATATGACATGGTTTGTTTTTCATTTTGGTTATATATAATTATATCTTTGTTGTTACTTTTAGTTCATTTTATAATTAAATGATGAAATTCACCACTTTCAATCTATAATTTGAGCAGCCGACCAAGTTGACTGATACGTCTGCTGTGCAAGCGCGGAAGGGGAAAGACATTCAGGGGATTCCGTGGGAAAGATTGAACATAACTAGGGAAAAATATAGATTGACAAGGCTTGAACAGTATAAAAATTATGAGAATATCCCATCCTCAGGTGAAGCTGTCGACAAGGTTTGTTTCTTTTCTACCATCTCTAAATGAACTAGTTTGTATTGAAGAGAATATCATGTTAAACTTTATGTAATTGGTATTCGTTGCTTCAGAAATACAAACAGATGGAAAAGGGTGGGAACTACTATGAATTCTTCCACAACACTAGATTGGTTAAACCTACAATTCTCCATTTTCAGGTTTGTTAGTCAGAAAGTGCTTTATTTCTTTTGTTATTGTCATTTATATTCTCTATTTTCAGGTTTGTTAGTCAGAAAGTGTTTTATTTCTTTTGTTATTGTCATTTATATTTGCTTTATGAAGATGTTGATTTTGGTGTCAAAATATTTTTTCTTGAGTTTCTTCTTTTCCTTTTAGATAATGCTATAGCTTTAATGTATTTAATCATTTAAAGACTATCCATCTCATTAATTTTCTTGGTTCAGGTGTGCGTGTGCGTATGTGTGTGTGCGCCTAACTAAGCCTTTAATCTCAAAGTAGTATTTGTTGGCTGCATGAATCCTTTATTGCTGCACGCACACATAGATGCATGTATCTATGTTTTAGTACTGTTCAAATTTCCAAGTGATGATTCTATTAAGTTTTTAAGCTTCGCTTTTCTGATTGAGGGATAAGTTTCAAGTTGCTAATATTGACCTAACATATTGGTTTTATTCGTTGATTATGATTCTTAAATTTGCAACTTTTCCTATCCTAGTAAGTTGTGGAGCCTATTTTGTGATCGTACATTGAGAGGCATTTTAGGGTTGTCTAATGGTGTTTGAATCTTGCTTGGAGTCCTTATTGGGCCACGAGTTGGCAGTTGACACGAGTTTAAACTGTTTGAGTTCAAAACTGTAAGTTCTTATTTGACTAGAATACTAAAGACTTTTAGTATAGTCACTTTCTATTAACCAGTGAATTATAGTTTTCCTGCAAAACATCAGCTACCTTTTTATCATCTGCAGTTACAATCTGTTCTCAGTTCTACAATCACTTGGGGTACCTTTCTCCTCCACTGAAATGGTCTTGATTAACAACCAAAATTTTGTCCACAACAAATTTCTTGCTTTAACATGGTTATTCATTGGTATATTCATTAACACTACCAAAATCCTACATCATGTACAATAAAAACTCTAATACCCCACAATTTTTGCTCAGAAATTTTACCAAAGCTCATTTCCGCATCTGTTTGCATGTTGTTGAAGTTTTAGGTGATACTAAGAACCAATACCACAGACTTCGTCTCTCAAATATCACTAAAAGCTATCCTTTAAGCTATAATATATAACATTGGTTACCACATATCTTTTGTGAGACTATTGTATCATAGACGGAAAATGCCCAGAAAGCAAAAGGTAGGAATTCATTTTTCCTATACATTTAAGTTTCAGCAATAAAATCCCATTATTGTGGTATGTTTTCTGGTATATCAGTTTGGATAAGTGTCTGTTGCTCTATATTCTGTTGCTCTATAACACATTATTTGAGCAAAATACTCATTTTTTTTCTCTATATTGAAATTTAAGTAATAGAGTCCCATTATTGTGTTATGATATATTTGGTGTCTAGTTTGGAGAAGCATTTATTGGTTTTGTCTATGTTATTGAAAGTGTGTCTAGACACTTGTTATTTGAGCTTTAAATGACCTGCTGTGGAATGAATTTGCAGCTCAGAAACTTGGTTTGGGCTACTTCAAAGCACGATGTTTACCTTATGTCCAATTATTCAGTTATGCACTGGTCATCATTGTCATGCAATCTATCTGAGATCCTTAATTTTTCTGGGCATGTGGCACCTACTGAGGTATTACAGTTGTACTTATTATCCTTATGCTTCTTATCTTTTCCTTATCAGCATGAATGATTTTGACGATAGTTAGTTATTGTAATTCTGGTCTACTTTTATCTGCTAACTACTATTGCCTTGTAACTAGAAACATCCGGGAAGTTTGTTAGAAGGTTTTACACAAACTCAAATAAGCACGCTAGCAGTCAAAGACAATTTTATGGTTGCAGGAGGCTTCCAAGGAGAGCTTACTTTGAAGGTAAGTTAATATTTACAGCCTTTTCCTATTTTTGCTAATATTAATTTCTCTTTGATCTGCTGCTTATGAGATGGAAATGCTAATTTTATGATTGGTGGTTGTTTTTTTGTTTATTAGTCATTGGCAATTCTTTGGGGACAGAATCAGAATTACCCCCAGCCAGTTCCTCTCCCTCTTCTCTGAATTGAGCTAGCAACAGTATTTGAAATGACTATGAAACCCTCACCATTTGCGTATATACTCAAAACTAATTTGAATTCCATCTAAATCATCTGATCTTCTATAAGTTATGTGATGACTTGTTATATGTAATTATTGTTAGAGAAACTGTATGTTGTTCATGGTTAGAATCTTAATCATCTTGCAAACTTGTTCAAGCAAGAGAGAGAGGTGCATGTAACTGGAATAATGATGGGTGTTGTGGTGTGAATCAGTTAGTATGTGGAGAGTGTCTGTGGTCAGCTATCTCCCTTTTAGGAACTTTTCATGGTCGTGATAGGGAGAAGAGGCAGTGTGTGTGTGTGTGAGAAAGAGAGAGAGAGAGAGGTGACATATAACTGGAATAATGTGGCTATTAGTTCATTTAATTACTCGTTGAGCTAGATAATTTCTTGGAGTCTAGGTTTAAACGTAATCGATAATACCAAATGCCTTCATTTTCTAAGATATAAAATCCTAAAGGAATAATTTAGTTGAAAATAATGCAGTGAAGGTATATTCATTGTATTAGCATGCATAATGTTACACATACCAAAGTAATGATGCTTTAAATTTACCATAATTTAATTAAAATGGCAACCTACCAAGCCTACCCCTTTTCGTATCATGAAACTGAATTCTAGAAAATCCTAGAAATTGAAGTGATGGCATGTTTCTAGAAAGAGTGACATGGATTGTCCTGTATTAGTGCCTACATATGTTTTGTTGTTTCTATTTCTATCATTTATTTACTAGTTGGTTCTGCGTATTCTGGTTTTGCACAAATATATTTTTTGGCATAATTGGTTTGCTTTTACCCATTTCTTTTATTGATATTGTACAAATTCATTTTTCCTGTTTCTGCAGCACTTGGACAGAAAAGGAGTAACCTTTTGTACCCGGACAACCTATGACGATAATGCAATTACAAATGCTATCGAGATATATGACAGCTTGGGGTAGCATGATAATTGCTGATTGGCTCTTTGACTGGGAAAATATGTTGAATAAAATATAGATTGAATTTCGAAGCTGTTTTGCAGGGGTGGAATTAATTTTATGGCCTCCAATAATGACTGTAGCATGAGAGAATATGATACAGAGAGATATCAACTTTTAAATCATTTCCGTTTCCCTTGGCCAGTAAATGTAAGCCATTGTAATTGCTATTGGGATGCCTAAATTCTTAATTCAGTTGTTCTTTCTTAACCCTTCATATTTTATCTTATATCCACATATGTTTTAAAGAGAGGCAATGGTTTAAGGGTAGTTGTATGGTCATTTGAAGTAAATAATTTCTTCACATAATGGAGACAAATGGTGAATTTGAAGGTCTGTAGGCAATAGAGATTGTTGCTTCATAAACAGAAAAGGCAAACCTAAAACATCTATGACATTTTCTGGGATTAGCTTAAATTTCAATCACATGACTAAACGTATTTATTCTGATGCAGCATACATCAATCAGCCCCGATCGAAGGCTTATTACTGTTGTTGGAGATCACCAAGATGGGTTGCTTGTGGATTCACAAAATGGAAAGGTTACAAATTAATTTTCTAATAGGATATTGGAACTGCACAGGTGACTGGATGAGCCTTGGTGCAATAGTAATGTTGCTCTATAATGAGTTATGGGTTCAAATTAGGGAGATAACCTCCTTGAAAACAGGGCTGAGGTTGTGTACATTTGACGCTCATGCATTGGGCTGCCCTTTTTTCTTTGAAACATTTAAATGCAGAGAAAGAGTCAAAATGGTGAGCCTACCATGAAGAGCAATAGATTACTAGTGCAGCAATAGACATACTTGGGGCAGTATGTGCATGTCTGTTTTAACTCTCTTTTCTTCCTTCTAAGCGAGTCACTTTTCATCTATAATTTTTTGAGTAATAGTCATTTATCCATCTGTGCCTTTGCAAAGAAATGAAAGGTCTTGCACCAAAGAATCTGGAGCTTAGCGCTGTTTGTTTATCCTCTCACCCTTAATCCAGTAGGTTTGGCTTTAAAATTTCAGCACCCGCAGTCCATTCCTCTATTCCCAGACTATGGCTTTTTATATAACAAGAAAAAAAAGGGTTTCTGCACAAAACCAACTGTGAGCATTATTACGTATGCTTGTGGTTTGGTACTATTTTGACCCAAGCTTTAATTAATGATTTGTCTATATGGTTAAGAGTATCATATGTTAAACAATAGAAAGTGTGCTGCCTTTCTAGTGTAGAATAGTAAGAATTATCAGTGCTATCGCAACTGAATCACATTTTCTGTGGTCTCAGACTTTAGCAACGGTGGTAGGTCATCTAGATTACTCCTTTGCATCCGCATGGCACCCAGATGGGCGCATATTTGCCACAGGAAATCAGGATAAGACCTGCCGAGTATGGGATATAAGAAACCTCTCAACGCCGGTTGCAACTCTCAAAGGAAACTTGGGTGCCGTTCGATCGATCCACTTTTCATCCGATGGCCAATTCATGGTAGTTGCCGAACCAGCTGATTTTGTTCACGTGTATAGTACGAGTGCAGATTACCAGAAAAGGCAAGAGATCGACTTCTTCGGTGAGATTTCAGGGGTATCTCTAAGTCCAGATGATGAGTCTCTATATATAGGAATATGGGACAGAACTTATGCTAGTTTGCTGCAGTATAACAAAAGACACACTTACACGTACTTAGATTCATACTTTTGATTATGTCGATGATCCTCTTTGAAAGAGTGTGTTGCGTGCTGCTTTAATTTTGCAACATTGTTGTATTCTCTTATGTCATGTAGGGTGAGTTAAGTGAAGATCATATATAACAGTAGAGTGTGTATCCTTTGTTAGAATTTTGGTGCATGTACAGTTCAATATCATCCTTGAAATGAAATGTCTTACAACAATAAGTTCTTTTCCATACTTCTATTTGCTTTGATAACCCTTTTTCTTTTGCTGTCTTATGTCGTCAATATAGTATATTGAAAATAATCCTCTCGAGGGTTTTTTTCATTTGGACATTTGGCAATAATTGATTGGTTTAAATTTTATTTTATTTTATTTATTTTTGGTTACGTCAAGGCAAAATCTTAGTATAAGTAAAAGGGAGGGAGGAAGTTTGATTTTAAATCAAGTCTTTGATGTTCCTTCAAATGCTTTTAGTCTAGTGGCTAAAGGCTTGAAGATGGTTTAAATTTTATTTTTTATACTTAATTAAAAGAAACTAAAATAATTTAAATGAAAATAATACGTTTTAAAAATTCAATAATAAAATAATATATCACGTAATTTTATAAAAATTACTTGAACTTTTACCTTAAAAACTAAATAAAATTAAAATATAATGAATGTTTAATTCAAAATACAATGACAATTTATAATTAGTGATTATTGATTACTCCAAAATTGTGCCTTATTCTTACAATGATTGATTGTGACTTTGATAATAATGATGCTTTTTCGACTTATCCATGAACAGACAAAGGGAACTTCTATAAGTTCGTTATGGTTATGATGGAACATGGTTTCGTGCACGCCTCGTGTTACAATTATAGGACTGAGAGAAATTGTTATACTGCCAACAGCCACAATCATTACTTGTAATAATTTAAAATTCAACATAATAACATCATATAAATATGATATAAAAAGATAAAAATATTAATTTAAAATTTTAACAATAATTATATTTATGTTTTATAAAATAAAAAATATATTTATGACATAAATTATTATATATAATTTTTATATAAAATATTATATAAATACATAAATTTCAATATTTAACAAGATACGAATCCGTAAATTATCAAGTCTATATAGCATAAACTGTTAGTATAGTACAATAGAACTAAAAGAACTTAGTATGCTGTCATCAACCGTTGATAGAATCAAGAGAACTAAAAGAACTTACTATACTGCCAAAGCCGCCAAGTAGACTATTAGTAGAATCCTAGATTCTTAATTCGAATGATTAAGATTTAAATTCTAACATCAACTACCCAAAAAAAAAAAAACCTTACTATACTACATAAGCTGTTAATAAGAGCAACTTCAGGTGGGCAATGAGGATTTCATTTCAAAAGTGAATTTAACAGAGGCACAAACAAAAATGATATCACTCCTTGCCCCCTCAAACTTGATGCCATAGAACTAATGGGCTGAAGTTGGCATACTATGCAACTTGGCCAACATCAGTGCTGCAGCTGATCCTCTTGCTTCATGGGGTTTAGGACAAGCATCACCCACAGTTGAAGACTCAAAATTCATCCCTTTTACACTTACCTTGGCTTGATATCCGCCTTTATAATTCAAAATAGACTTGTTAGTTCCTGCATGTTATTCTTGTTTCTTCAACACTGCATTATAAGACAATTAATGGCCAAGGACTAAATAAAAAGGCAAAAGCAGGTTTCTAAAGGACATCTTACAGTTGGAGAAACAATGAAAAGTGCCCATCACAGAACAATCATTCCATCAAAATCTCATCATTTCCAGATGAGAGACATGAGTAGCTTTAGCATTCATATGGTATTAAATTGTATAACATTTCTCATTGCACATTGAAGTTAAAAGATCTTACCATCTGAGGGGAATACTTGATAAGTTGGTAATATCCAATTCTTCTCGTTGCATATACCATCCAACTCCTGCTGGATGAGAAAAATTAATCATTATATGCTGCACACGGGTAAAGCGTAGAAGTCTTAATTTGGAGTTAGGGCATCAGCTAGCACTTTAAAACCTTATAGCATGTAAAAACTGGTCAACACTGAAATGCAACCCCCGTAATATATTACCATTCTTCAATTTTTGGGTTTCCCATAATGAATGTCTTACTACTTACCTAGAGCTAATTTTAGCTATTTTACTTTCTTACTTACCTATCAAAATATCACATTGAAATTTCTGCTTATTTATACTCCATTCAATGATGGAAAGAGCTGAAGATGAAAATTTTGTTCATCTAATGGTTAAGCTACAAAATAGAAAAGTGGTTATGAATATTAATCATTGCATTAACATGTTTTTCATCCATTCCTTTTTCCCAATCGTTTCTACCAAACAAAGCCTAGAGGATTGTTTTGGGAAGAAAGCTTCATTTTGAATCCTTCTTTAAAGTTTGTCATCTCTTATGGAGACAATGATTGTGGACAGAGGGAATACGACTCCTGTGATATATAGTACACAATAGATCTCTAGTTGAACAGGTACCTCTATTTACCAACATTCACAGACATTAGCAATTGTCTTCTAGAATAAAATGAAGCTTGACCTACAAAATGGAAAGAAAAATAGAAGCCTTCTAGCTAAACTTGCCTGACATGGATTTTGCTTGCTGAGAGCTTCCTCTGACAATCTGTTTCTTTTGATGTATGGAGTTGAACATTGGTCTTCATAATCATGGGGAGTCCTCCCTTGGCTAGCACTTTCTAGATACGCCTCATTACAACCTTCAATTATCAAGTCTATCTTTAATTCCAAATCATCTTTGCCACCTATACAAAGAAAAAATATTACCACATAAGTTTTGAGTTAATTAAATTTGCTCCCAAGTCTGAGTTGTTTAACCTATGGAATGGAGTAAAGAAACCTGCAACTTTCTAACCTGTAGCCTTTGATCTTTGCCTTAACAATTCTACTCAGATAACAAAGGGTCAATTAATATGGAACATGAAATTAGTAATCATGTGCAACTCTTTGAGTTCAAATAGAAGAACTAGCAGTCAATGAGTTGCTTAGCGCAACTGATTCATTAAGTTGGGTGATTGAACTGGAATTATCCCCTAAAGCAAATAGAACTCCAAAAAGCATTACAACTCATGTATTTGACAGACACTTTTCTCAACAAGTATTCCAGACAGTCAAATAAGATCAAAACTCAAAATGAACCTCATACTATAAAGAAATCTCCATGTATGTTGGATGTAACACATTCTTTAAGAACAGTAATTGTCAGTAACTCTGTTGACTGACTTTAATTACATTGATGACAACTTAGTCGACATATAATTTCCAGAGCAATGATCATTACTTGTAGGTAATTGTATACCAACAAGAGAAAGTAATGGGACTTAAATAAGTAGAGTCTAGAAAGGAAAAATTATTAAAAAAAAAAAAAAAGCAAAGGAGAGTTCTGAAGAAAAACGCATCAACTAAATTTCAGAAGCCCCTATAGCAAATGTAATTTACATTTCCTCAGTAAGAAATCTATTGCTCGGCTTTAAACTCATAGCATATAAAGAGAGTTAAACAGCATCCTGTATAATAAAACTTGCATATATATGAGAGAAGACAACTGAGTCAACACTTTGGAGAGAATTATGAATTTCTCTCTAAAAGTAATTACAATAGGGGAAGAAGAGCTAAGAAAATCAATGACTAAATCCATCTAAGAAAGTCAGAAAAAGCAGAGAATAAGATCTATTGATCCAAAAAGCATTACTACGAATTAATAAAGGCTAATGCTTTCATGTATGTATAAATCCATTCTCGCTATAGGAAAGCACAGAGGTAATGGCAATTAAGTTAAATCACCTAATAATACATTAAAAGAAAATAATGTCTCGACCATTGCTTGTTTTCTACTACAGTCTCATTTCTTTTCTCAGTTGTATCCTGTAGATCTTATGAAATTATATATATATATATATCCACTTACATCAGTATAAGAATTATTAAGTTTTAAAAAGTAGTACCATTCAAAATAGTTTGGATCTTTTTCTCGCATTGAGCAATCTCATCTCCAATATTGCGTTGCTGAAGAACCTGCAGATACAAACAGATGTGTGAAATTTTGCAATAGTCCTAATGTTAAAGAGAAAAAATATATAATCAAGGAATTCATCAACAACAAATATCACAGGAAAGAGCATGAATCACTTCAAAATGGGAGTTTAGAGGATGCAATATAGGTTATGTATTCAGATGTTTTAAGGCCGCTGCCTATATGCAGGCTATCTTACTAGATATTACCAATCTCATCTACAGAATAAATGTGGCCAGCTGCATGCTACCAAAAGTTCAACTGACTTCGTGTCATAAATTATTCAAAGGAGGAATGCAATTGGAGCATCATTTGAACAAAAGCAAATAAAATCATACCAATTTATCCCTTTTACTAAGTAGAACTTGCAAAGCAGTTTCCGACAGGATGTGTTCCTTTGAGGCTATGGCATTTTGTAGTTTGGCAGAATATTTGGAGTTGGACTCGTGAATAACTGAAGCGTGATTACCCACGGGCATCCCATCTTGACAAGAAGACAAATTATTCCATGCTACATTTTTAATGGCAACAGTTTGACCCTTAAGATGATTATGGTTTTGAAATTTCGAGTCAGCCACCTCAAACTGCAATTGAATTAGGATTACATTTGATATAATAAATAAAGAGTAGACAAAAGAACATGGAGCTTAAAAGATTAAACAAATTACCAACAAATAAATAAATGATAAATAAAGCCGGGCTTCCTTGGACCATTTGACCCATAGACTTGGCTTCTGCTTAAACTAAAATATTATTTTACAGAGATGCGTAGAGATAACTAAAAAGAGAGCTCCATGTTTGTGGAACTAAAAAACTGCAATGTGGTACAGTCTTACAGAGATACTGTTAAGGTCTCCATGTGTATGCGCAACACCCCCCCCCCCCCCCAAAAAAAAATAAAAAATGACAAAATCATGTTTATGTTAATTTATCTAGTTATTTTGGTACGTATCAGCAGTTACACTCAACATGGCAAAGTGCTAAGTACCTAAAAAATTGCAGAAATTGATATAGCTATTAAAACATTCTTAGTGAACCTTGTGCACCACAAAATAGGCAAATATTATATAGTTCATTTTTATATTAAAAACTCTCTAATCTAATTAACATTCTTCAATGGTTAACTCAACATGGTTACTAAGTGCTGAAAATTCCAAGAAGTTGACATAATTGCCAAAATATTTCTACTAAATCATGTAGACTACAAAAAGAAATACAATATCTAGTTTCTTTCTTAAAGAATAAAAATTCTCTAGATTACCATTTTTCAACTCTTAACAAATAAAAAGCAGTTATCAGGCCACACCTTAGCAACATTCGTCAAGCCATTTAAACCGCTCTCTGCACAAGAAGTCATAACCTCTAGCTCAGCATCATGTTGGACTTTCTCAGCAACATTTTTGCATGTCGACTTTTTTTCAGAGTAAACCACAGAATGGTTGTCCACATCCATATTCCAAGGACCATCAATAGCATCCAAGAAGTCATTTGAGCAGTGTTCATTCTTCTCATTCTTCTTTTCTGATTCAGCACTGGTGGTGTTTCTAAAAGCCTCTACTACATCATTAATCTGATTTTGGTTTCTGTTATTACAAGCTTCCGGTTCAGAAGGTTCTGTCATTTTAGAGCCATTTACATTTACAACTTCCAGTATTGACTCCTGATCCCGGAAACTTGTAGGAAGCATATCCCTGCAGCACAACTTGTACTGAGATAATTAGCAATAAAAGGAACACATGCAAACATATCCAGGCACACAAATGTCAACAATGTTAGTTAAAGATAGATGAAGTAATCCATACAAATACATGTTTACCTGTACTTATCTTAACCACTAATAAAATTGGTGGTACATGGATTATCCACATAAATCGTTGGGTATTAGTTGTAAAAGTGTTAACCTAAATTAAGTTATTTACTAATGGCACCTTAATGCCTGTTCTTGCTTTGTAAAACTTTAGGGAATGCAAGTCAACTAACATGGAGAAAATAAATATTGACATGTGGCATGGTAATTCTATGCATAAGCAGTTCCAATTTTCTATTGGTTAGTTAAAATCTTTTATCAAATAATTACAACTGTGCACTACTAAACCTACAAAACAATTTTTATACATAAGCAGTTATAATTTTCTGTATGAGAATGCAACTTAACCTACAAAACAAAACTAAACCCTTTCCACTACACAGGAAAGTAATTTGGTCTAACATAAAACAAGATCACAAACCTCAAGAACCATTGAGAAATGATCTGAGCATAAGGAAGCAAGTGGAAGTATTCAACAACAGAAGTGTGAATCCATTGGAAAGAAATCCTTTTTACTAAAGCACCCTGCATGCTAACAATATGTACAAGAAGCTTCATCAGCAAATTTACAGAGTAATATTTTAATAAAAAAGGTAGATATACAACAAAACTAAAAAGAACAGATATCTTAACCAATTCCTTTTAGCTCTATTTAACATTATTTATACCACTAATAAAGAGATTGGCTGAGTTGGTCTCTTACCAGCTCGATCCATTATTTTACTGAATTAAGTTGCACCCTAATTTTTCCCTCCTCTGCAATTAAGTACTTGCAAACTGTCACTCTCCCATGTTTTGTCTACCAATTTCTATTAAGTAAAGTTTAACTTTAAACCTATTTTTGTTTAACTTCTCACCTCTTTCATTTCCCCTTCCCCCCTCCATGGTACTTGTTTTATTGGTTTTTTACCTTTTGTATCATCCCTAAAAATTCTGCTGTAACATAATTAGGCTCCATTTTAGTTGGTTTACTAATTATTTTTTGCTTTTAAAAATGTTGTCACAAGGAAGAGCAGATAATAGTAAAAAGCAAAATAATATTTGATTAAAAATGAGTAACTACATTAATTCAAAAAGATAGTTTTTATCTAAAAGTAAAACAATAAATTTTTTATGCATGAAAGCCAACCATTAGGTTTTCAATTTTCCAAAAATATTGTTTGCTTCCATACGCAAAGACACTTTAGTTATTGCTTTTGGAAACAAAACAAAAGCAAAACCACTGACCAAGCAAAGTCTTAGCACATGCCATGGAAGATGGTTAATCGTCATTCAGACAAGACTAAATGCATAAAATGGTTCCATGGTATAAAGTCCTATCACAACATACAAATGTATAACTCGTAGCAGCTCCTATTGTGATCAAAATGAGCATTATCCAGGTTCCTAATTCCTACAATGATGCCTCATGATATTGAAAACTTTCACAACGATCTAACTTACAACTGGAAGATAATTTTGATCTAACTTTCACAATAGGGGCATTCTGACATTAAAGTGCAATCTAACATGGCAGTTTTCATAATTTTTCATCAGTTCATCTTGCCTCTATGCTAAGTTCATTATCCTAATTATGTAATTGATATCACTCTCAACCATGAACATCTTGTTACCTAAATGATCATCCACTAACCAGGCTGGACTCTAGAAGTTAAAAGTATGTAGTAAGGTGAACTCCATCCTGTGCTCATGGACAATAACAAACTAACAACAAAATCATTTGACATAAGAATTACACTTCCGCAATAAATATCTAGAAAACAAACCTTTGATACCAACCAGAGGAAGAATACCAGAAAACAGAGACCATACGACAAGCACATAAATATAAAAATAAAAGGCATTGACTTGAACCAAACCTATCAATAACATCCTTAATAGGTATCCAATGAGCAATTTCTTTTTCTGCATGAACGCACTGCATTATATAAAAGAGAGTGGCTGTCTTTTCTTTACTCAAAGAACAAACAACATGGCTCTCTACGATGGTAAGATCACTTTGACTGATGCCTGTTCCATAAAAAAGTCATTAATTACTAAACTATTAGCAAATCCTTTAACAATTAAACCATGCTAGAAAAGAAAGGATAATAATTGATCTAAAAGCTATTCCTCAGTCCAACAGACAAGGATTGTGCAGCACAGCCACAAAATATGTGCTCCATGTCTGTGAACATGTATGCGTGTGTTTGCATTGGTTTATTGGTTCTTTTGGCTATGTGCATGTGGACTCTCAAGGGACAGCATAGTCAAGGCATCAGGCTAGTAGTGATATACGGGCTTAGCCAAAATTATGATTTCTTCAACAACAAAGAAGTCTTTCTGATCCTAGGGTAGGAAGCATCATTAGAAGTTTCTGGGTCCTTAGTCCAGTTATTTATCAGCCTAATCAAGTTTCAATTCACAAGTTACTTTGATAACTTTTTGTTATGGTCCACTAGTTCTTTTCAAGGGTGCACTTATAAGGATTTTTTAGGTCTTTTAATTTATTTAAATAAGGCCTTATTTTTTTATCCAATGATGTGAGGAAACCTGCTACAATTTAGCATTAGCATTTATATAATATTACAGACACACAGAGAACACATACTCAAACACAAATTATTTTTTCTCTTCATACTTTTCTTCTTTCAACTTTCTATGGTTATAGTATGCAGTTTTTTGTTCCTGATAAAACAGGAATAGCCTCCATGAACCTGTTGCATTCGAGTCTTCCTACAGCTCACAATTTCCAGCAAACAACTTCATTCAATTGCAGGCAATTTTTTTTATTAAATCCTTTCAGGTTAAACAATATTCAAATATCCTAAACTCCATTATCTATACTCACAGAACTAAAACCTATTTTTCCAACCCTAGGCCACTATAGACCTAACTGTTGATTGCTTGAATAAGTCCTTCACCACATTCCTTAATACAAACAGCATGAAAGAAATTAATTAAGTTTAATACAGCCTAATCCAAGCTAGATAATTTAAAAATATCATGTTAAATAAATATAAGCCAACATCTAACTTAGATTGTTGGGAGAAAACAAGAAATAAACATTCAAGCTGCTAATTTAATGGTTATAGCATTTTTCATAATAGTAATTTTATGATTGTAATTGTACTCCTAGATGATTTAAACATATCATGTCAAATGTATATAAGCCAATATCTAACTTGGTTTGTTGGGACAAAACAAGTCTTCAAAGTGAATAAGTTTTTCAGTGAGTTAACCATCAAATCTTTCCCAACAAGGAACATGATTACTCTGTCAAACAAGCGGCACACAAGACAACAGTCAACTCAAAGTCTACACTGATTAATGCTAATTATTCAAGGTTTTAATTGAAGCAACCCCTTTAAATTCAAATTCTAAAGCTTATTACATTAGTTACACTAAAAGGTGAATAGAGAGATTATTTATCACTGCCTGGAAATCCATATTTAAGAATTTATTCAACAATTAATGTAAACTTTCAGTGGTTTACCATCATGTATTGCTTCCTTAACGGCCGAGAAAGCAAATTGCTGGAAGTGACGTTCATCAGCACCCAATTCATCTTGCAAACATTTATTAGGGATTCTTTTTCTTTTGTTCATATGTTTTGCCTCAATAGAACCATCTGAACTCCAAGAGGACTCATTCACATCTTTTTCAATAAGTGACCATACACCCTCAGTGATGCTGCCATTCTGCAGAGAGCACTTCTCTTTACTCGGGTCTACTAAAAAAACAGCAACTTTTGAAATTGGCCATCCATTTGCAGTTTGAACATTACTTGATGCATCTAAACTTGTAGATATATCACATGCATCCTTGATGGCTTTCTCTGTCAATGATAGCTGCTTCTCAAGGTCACTCAATTCAGTATCATCAGACCTTAGCATGAGCTTCATATGGGACTTCAAATTAGGCTTCACAACTACAGCTAACTTGCAAAATGGCTCAAAGCCTAGATACTCTAAGTGGGGATGTCTTTTCCTGTGGTAATAGTTGTATAGTAACACAACAGCATGCACCTAAAGGAAAATTGCAAAAACAAAAGAAGAAATATAAGAGAGTGGATTATATGATCACAAATTTGTGCATCTATTCATGAAAGAAGGTAAATGTACATTTCCACAATCCTCCAGCACGGACATCAACTCTTGAATAAACCTTTTAAATTATCATCTAGTCATTCCAACATGGTACAAGCTCATTCCAAACAAATCGTTACGAGACAATTGTTGAACATTTTCGCACCTCCTCTCCAAGTAAAAATCTACTGTGAATGACATTTTCTTTTAATGCTTTGTATGTAAACAAAGCATTAAATGCATATAATCCAAAAGAAATACAAAATACTTAAAGTCATACTCCCATTTCAACATAATACAATTAGAACCCCAAAATTTGCACCAAATAATCAATTCTACTCATTCTTCTTCCCTATTAACTTTGTCCAGAATCCACTAATACGGAAAAGATCATTACAGATGAGAAGCATAAAAATCCTCCATAATTGGTTAGATAAAGCAATTCTCAACTTATTAAGATCATGTAACAGATCATGACATGAATAACCTGACAAAAATAAATTTGGAAAGCTAAGCTCAATGCAAAGTAAGGAAAGGGACCTGTTTTGCAACTGCCTTCTGTTTATCTAGTGTTGGAATTTCCTGAATTGAATATTTAGCAGGTAGCAAAGGCTCAACCAAGTAGTCCAAAAATACTTGAATAGCATCCTCGGTTGGACACACATTTGAGTTGTTCATATCTGCGTAAGCACTGCTCTCGTAGAATTATTATATCCATACAGCAGTAAACAGAAATTGTGGAAATCAACATGTTAGTCTCTTTAGGGTTTATTTATCGAAAGGAGCTTATTGAATTACACATTTGATAACAGTCCAAGCAAACAAAAAACAACACCTTATGCCAAAATGCATATAATTTACAGATATGATTTCAATTCTTAAGGTTTCTAAGTCACTGACAAGCTCAAACATTAAACAAGGAAAATCACATAACAAAATTAAGACCCTTGTTTCCTTCTCTAAGGCTTTCCAACTGTTCAAATTGTAAACCTATAACTGCATGCATCAACAAAACAAATTAAAGCAACATAATTTCCAAGAAAAATCATATTTTTTTCAAAAAAATAAAAGAAAAACCCAACTTCGAAAACGTGTCTTGAATTAATTTCCTTTTCCAAACACGTTTAAATAATCAAATTTTAACCCAACGAAAAATTTTAAACAAAAAAAAAATTGTAATAGAGAATCCCATCAAAGCAATCCAAAAAAGTTAACAAATCTTTCACATAACCCAAAATTTCTAACAATATAGATGCTTTTTTGTTTATTTTTCAAAGAAAGTAGTTTATTTAAAAAAAAAAAAAAACTGATTAAAACTTAGCAATAAAATATAAATAATCTTTTAAATAAACAAGAAACCCCCAGAGAAAAATGGAAAATAATGATTGAAAACAGAGAGGTATCGAATGTACCGATTTTAAAAACAGAGAGGCAAACAGATTTTAGGGTTTTTTTGTCTTCTTTTTGTAGATAATTTGGAGTTCTAAGAGAGTGAGCTCTCTTCACTGTTTCCTGTTAAGACAAGTCCAGAAAAGCAAAAGAAGCGTTTAAGTGACCGTAGGTTATTATTAATTAATTAATTGATTGTTTATTTGATGCGACGTCGTTTATTTGGTCCTTTCATACCGAAAAGATCCCAACACTTGTTAGAATTCTCATTTACTAATTGAAAAAAAATTATGTAATACAATAATATTAGAAAATAAAATTAAAAAGCTACCATATATTTTATTAAAATATATTAAAAAAATTAACAAATTAATAGAATAAATAATAAGATATATAGTAAGTCTCACATTTTTAATTACAGACCAAGTATATAATTATTTTATTTATTAAATTTAAAAACTTTACTAATAATATATATAATAATTGTCTTACCAATTAAGTTGCATTAAAGTATAATATATGAGAAAAATTATGATCAAGAATACACTCATTATCACATGTTCAATTAAGGCTTCAACTTAACAAGTCTTGAATAATTTTAAGATCCAAACTCAAGGATATTGTTTATTAAGTATGTTTCATTTAATTTTAATTATAAATTGTATTAAAAATTAATATATTAATAAAATTTTGTTAATATTTTAATAATAAATATTATAACGATTTTGAGAATCGCTAAATAAAATTTTAAAATTTTAAAATCGGGAAATCATAACTAATCTTTTTGTTAAGTGTGATTGATAACTTAAAAAATTTATTTTTTTAATAAAACTCTAAAATTAATTTAAAATTTATCAAAAAAATAATTTTAGTATTTGAAATCAAAGATATGTACGAGAGTGTGTTTAGCGCGAGAAAAAATTAATACCCTCATAATGCTTGATTAAAAAATAGTACAAATTAATTATATATTATCTTTTAATTTTAATAAAAGTGATTTTAATTTGATATTTAAAATTAATTTATTTGACTCCCTTTATTCATCTTAATATCGTCACAATTTTTGCTATTTTATTTTTATTATTTCACTCTTTTTTTTATAAAATTTTATGTTTTTTATTTTTTAAAAAAGATTATTATATTTTGTTTGAGAAAAATAATTAGAATTTTATTATTGAAAAAAATTCTTAAAATGTTTTAGTACCTTCATAACATTGAAAATTTTTTTCTCACTTGTAAATTTTTTAAGAATTATTACTCAGATTTTCTTAAAATCTCAAAAGTTCATATTTTTATTTAATTAATGAAAGTAATATTCATGCATTTTTATAATTTTATTCTTTAAAAAAATTTATTTTTAATTTTTTTAATTATTTTTCTATTTTTTATATAAAATAATAAATAAAAACCTTTTTGTATTGAATATATTTCTAAATACTTTAGTACTTTAGTAGTATTTTAGAAAAATATTTTTATCTAAAAATTTTTTAAAAATCACTATTCGAATTTCTTTAATATCTTATTATCGAAAGTTAGCATTTTTTCTTAAATGATTTGGTGATATACGTGTAATACAAATAATGAAATGTCTATACAAATATTTTATTTTTACCTTTTTTAAGAAAAATTTGTTTATTAATTCCCTTTTTTATTGGTATTTTTAGAAGAAAAAAATTTATTATTGTATTGAAATTTTTTTTACGAATACTCTAATACGTTGCTAGTATTTTAAAAAAATCTTTTCATTTAGAGACTTTTTAGGCATAATTACTTAGATTACTTTAGAATCTCATCATTAGATGCTCATGTTTATTTTTTTAATTTTTTAAAAAAATTAATTAATACTAATAATATTCACATATTATCATATGTAATTTTTTTCCTAAAATTTTTTTTTCTTCATTTAAAAAAATAATATATAAATAAAAATATTTTGTATTGAATATTTTCATAAATACTCTATTACTTTCATAGCATTTGAGAAAAACAATCTTATCTAAAGATTTTTAAAAAATCATTACTTGAATTTCCTTAATATCTTATCATCAGAAGAATTTTCGCTTATTACTATTTTTTAATAATAAAATTTTAAATTTCTTTAATTTATATATAAATTTACCATTTAATACATTTTCTCTAAAATTTCAACTTTAAATATGCCATTTAATCTATAAATAAATAAGCAAATTAATAAAATATAGGAAAAAAAACCAAAATTGGACCAATCAAACACTAATCAAAAGAAGTTGTTCAACGGTCAACTTCTGGCAAGAGGTGCGGGTCGGGTTAGGTCAACTCTAACAATGCGACAGTCAATCAATAGAGACGGGTCAGGTCAAAAAATTTATTTTCTTATTTTCTATCTCCATTGCAAAACTACACCATTTCATTAAACATAACTCAACTATAAAACCTAAAAAAAAAAAAAAATTCTCTTCTTTCATTTTTATCATAATTTTCTCTTACTAGATTTAAGAGTTTATCTCCCTAAAATAAAAAAACTCTAAAACTGGTAGCCACGGACCCAATTTCAATGCCGGCCTATCATACTACTGCCATCAATTGGTCACTATTTTGCCCCAAATTTTCACCATTGCTTCATCTTTTTATCCTTTTCATAAATAAACACTCTGTGTTCGCCAAAAACCCCATAGAGTTATAAATCTAAAACCTTAGACTGAAACTTAAAACATCCATTTGGCATTTGCCCACCGTTTGATCGATTTGAAATTCTAGTATGTGGCTACTCTCCTCTCACTTTTCATTTCCATCGTTCTTGACCTCCCAAAAGATTATCGTTGTCACTTATTGCCATCTAACATCATCATTAAAAAAATATTTGTACTTTTTTTATAAAATTTAATGTACCTTTAATTCTAAGAAAGAACCTTCTTATACTCGAAACACTCACCTTCATATTTCATTTGTATACTGACAGTCTTTGTATTTTTGTGACTTTTTTTTTTTTTTATATTTGTTAGCTTTAACTAAGGTCTTTTTATGTTGAGGATTATGGTTTTGTTTGTTGTGATTTTTGGTTTGATTATTGTTGGCAGTGGGTGGTTATGCTTTTTTATGTTGGTTGTGTAAGGGTATAAGGGCAAGTTAAGGAATGGAAAAGTTTTTGGTTGTTTGGGATAAATGGCTGTTGAATGAGATTTGAGGATTATTTTGGTTATTTGGGTTGTGCTAGTCAAGGGCTGAAAGAAAGGGCTTCTTTCATTAAAATGGGCCCTAGTGGTGGGTGATGGTGGTATGATTCAGAAAGGCATTAGAGAGATGATGGTTTCGAGTTTGTGGTCGGCCATTTAGGATTTTTATTACTTTTCCCTTTTTCCCCCATTTGAATTGTTTTTCCTCTTATATAGGATTCCAATTTTGATCAAAAAAATATGGAAACTTGTTTTTTAAGGGATTACTAGCATATGGCAAAAGAGATAACTGCTCTTAAGGTGGTAAAGCTTGCTGGCTTTTGGGACAGTAGGTCATTTGATGACTTTGTGTTAGGGTTGAGGGTAAAGTAGAAGGTGAAAATTAAAAAGCTTGAAATGATGCAACCAAGGGGTTAATTGATTTTAGGGGAGGAGAAAGTTTGTTTCTAACTACCATGGCAATGGCAGCTTTAGGTTTTTTTTTTCAATAATTTTTTAAAGTAATAAAATGAAATTAGGCCTTAAAATAGGATTTGGATTCACATTAGGCTTGGGGCTTCAAGCCTAAATTACCAAATTTTGACTTGATCCAAATTGAATTAGGTTGGGTTTTTACCCATGCAAAATGATTAAAACAATTAACCTAATGTAAAACTTGTTCATGAATTTGACTTAAACACTTAAGCAAAACCAAATTGAGATTTTTAAATCAAGCATAAAAAATGACTAAACTCGAATTGACTCAAACAAAATTAAATGTCTAAAATTGCCCAACTTTGCATATTGTTAAAAATTAGTAATATGGCAAAGACGTAGATAATAATTTTATCTGGAGTTAACGAATTAAGGATTTTTGAAAGATTTTTTTTTGTTGTTGTTTTTTGTTTTATCTATTTTGAATTTGTTTTTGATTTTTTTTAATTCTTGAAAAGTTTCTCTCATTAAAGGTTTCATAATTTTTGAAAATAAAACTAAAACATTGTACTCGGATGGTTTATGAATCTTACTTGGAGGACTTAGAAACTGTGCTTGAAAGTCTTATAAATCTTCACACTAAAACATATTCAACTTACAAAACTTATGAATCTTGCTTGGAGGATTTAGAAATTATGTTTGGAGGTCCTATAAATTTCGACATTAAAATAATTTAGCTTGGAAGACGTATGAATCATGTCTAGAAGACTTACAAATTATACTTGAAGGTTTTGTAAATTCACCATTAAAACAGATTCAACTTGAAAGACTTACAAATCTTGTTTAAAGGACTTAGAGATAATGTTCAGAGGTCTTATATACCTCGACATCTACAAATGCTCTTTTAAAAAGAGGCCTTAAAATTTAAAAAATTTAAATTATTCTACTTAGAGAACTTACGAGTTGTTTTGATATTTTTTCAAAAGTTTTGGAGATTTTATCCTAATGACTTACAAATCATTTTCTAAAAAATTGTTTTTTTTTTTTTAAATGAAACATTCAATTTTTAAGATTTTTTGAAACTCGAATATTATGATCGAGAAATGAAATGACTTCAGATACCACAATTGAATAGAACTTGATGCAAAGTCAGCTTTGGATACTTGGATATCACTATCGAGTAAATGCAGATGTCTTCAAATATCAATATAAAAAAAACTATACAAATTTAGATCTGGATACTTGGATATCACCACCAAGTGAATACATATATCTTCAAATATTCTTCGGATATCACTATTGAAAAT